TCTGAACTGTTGAAGCAATTTAATGCTCCTGGTTCGGAGTACTTTTGCTTCCTTCTTTCAACACGTGCCGGTGGTCTGGGTCTGAACTTGCAATCTGCCGACACTGTCATCATTTATGATTCTGATTGGAATCCTCATCAAGATTTGCAGGCACAAGATCGTGCCCATCGTATTGGACAGAAGAACGAAGTCCGCATTCTGCGATTAATCAGTTCTAACTCCGTTGAGGAGAAGATCTTGGAGCGAGCCCAGTTCAAGCTTGATATGGATGGCAAGGTCATTCAAGCCGGAAAGTTCGACAACAAGTCCACCAACGAGGAGCGAGACGCACTTCTTCGGACACTTTTGGAAACGGCAGAAGCTGCCGACCAAGTTGGAGAGCAAGACGAAATGGACGACGATGACCTGAATGAAATCATGGCACGCGCCGAAGGCGAAGTGGCCATCTTCCAGCAAATAGACAAAGACAGAGCGGCCAATGATGCATATGGGCCTGGTCACCGTTACCCTCGCTTGATGTGCGAAGATGAGCTGCCAGATATCTACATGCAGGAAGACAATCCCGTTGAGGAGGTTACCGAGACAGAAGTCTACGGCCGTGGAGCTCGTGAGCGCAAGATCACAAGATACGATGATGGGCTGTCTGAGCTTCAGTTCCTGAGAGCGGTGGATGCCATGGAAGGTGGCGAGGAAGATGCACCGACTTTAGACGAGGTCGTCGAGGAGAATGCTCGTCGTGCCGCCGAGAAGGTAGCCAGCAAAGAAAAGAGAAAGAAGAGGGCATCGGGTGTTGTCGAATCTTCCCCCGATCCGTCAATTGAAGATTCAGAAACCCCCAAGAAGAAGCGTCGCCGTGGCCCCCCGCCCAAGCGCAAGGCCGATGAAGTTGCTGAAGAGACCCCGCAGCCCAAACGCAAGCGTGGTCGCCAACCGAAGGTTCCAGACACCCTCAGCAGTTCCGACCGTGCCACCTTGAACCGCATTGTTTCCAGTGTCCTTCAGTCGCTCAAGGATATGGAGCAGGAAATTCCTGCCGAGTCATCCGATAGCGAGGAGGGCCCAATGGTGCGGGCAATCATCGATCCATTCATGAAACCTCCACCGCGCACGCAATATCCCGACTACTACATGATCATCAAGAACCCCATTGCAGTGGAGACAATTGAGAAGAAGATCAAGCGGGACGACTACCAAAGCTTGCGGGAGTTCCGGGATGACGTTCACCTGCTTTGCCAGAATGCCAGGACGTACAACGAAGACGGCAGTCTCTTGTACCAGGATGCCAATGATATCGAAGTGAGTGACCATATTCAAAACACGATGACACGAAAATGGAAATTTTGCTAATCATGAAAAACAGGACAAGTGTGTGATGGAATTGAAGAAGCAAACAGAGGGTCATCCTGAGTTTGCAAACTTCGATGACCCTTCGTCTGTCCTTGGCGACGGCCAGTCAACCGGCGCTGCCTCTGGAGCCGATACCCCCTTGACTGCCAGCACACCTGGCCAGCCAAAGATCAAGCTCACATTCAACAACTCCAACTTCGACAGCGCCAGCACCCTAAACGGAACTGACCCTGATGCCGATGAAGAATGATGAGCAATTGCTGTCTTCGATGTCTATTTTCGTTTTTTTACGCCTCATGTGCTAGCCATGTTTTCACCTTGGAGTTTCTTTTTTGACATCGAGAGATTAAGTGTTTCGACTGTTCTGCGGTCTGGAAGGGGCGTTTCCGTGAGTATTTGGGTTGGATGAACCCGGAAAAGGATGTGCAAAGGGTGGGAGCCTGTGTTTTCTCTCAGATCAGCGTCTCATCGGGGGTTTCCTCTTGGCTGGATGGAGTCTAGATATCGGCCAGAGACGCGCCCCCAAATATGTTTCAAATATGTACCTTTAGTTACTCGGTTACGGGATTCAAATACATTGGATCAACTTAAATTTCTTCAAATTTTCTTTCTACTGTCTTTCTTTTCAACAGTTCGCAGTACGAGGAACCTCTGGGGACATTCCAGGTTCGCGGGTGGGTCGACTGCTGCAACAAACTGCTGCCAGTGACGGTTGCAGACGGTCTCACCGAGTTTTGTGCTGCAGTACTACAAGACCTAGCTCGTATAAATTGGCAGATACCCCGCGATTCTACAACTTGAACAACCACCTCATCAGCATGACCATTTTGTCTAACAACAAAGATCTGACAGGCAAAGTCGCTATCGGTACTCCACTTGAAGCCCACCCAACCCCTAAAGCTACACCACCCATCAAAACACAGATACTAACAAAATCCTACTTACACAGTCACCGGTTCCAGCCGTGGCATCGGCGCCTCAATAATTCTCAAGTTCGCCTCACGGGGCGCAAATGTTGCAATAAACTACATTTCATCCAAGGAAGCCGCCGAATCCGTCGCAGCCCAAGCCCGCGCGTATGGCGTCCGTGCCATAACCCTCAAAGCCGACGTATCAAGCGAGACCGAAGTACCAGCGATGTTTGAGACGCTGATGAAAGAATTCGGCCGTCTCGATATCGTCGTCAGTAACTCGGGCATCGAGCATTTCGGCTCCTTGACCGAAGTGACGGGTGCCGACATCGATGCCGTTTTCGCGGTTAATGTCAAGGGGCAGTATTTTGTTGCTCAGCAGGCGTATAAGCATATGGCGGATTTTGGGAGGGTTATGCTTACTTCGTCTATCTCTGCTGTGAAGGTGAGTAGTACAGTATACCTCAGTGGTAGAGGAATGCTGGGCTATTCCCATTCTGATGATGCCCGTTTCCTTCATACTGATTCCTCGCGCAGGGCGTTCCTAGGCATGCAGTCTATGCTGCTTCTAAAGCAGCCGTTCAGGGAATGACAAAGTGTCTTGCAGTGGATTTTGGACCGCGCAATATCACGGTGAACTGCATTGCTGCTGGCGGCGTGAAGACCGACATGTATACTGAGATGTCCGCGAAGTACATTCCCGGTGGAGCAGATATGAGTGAAGGTGAGATTGAAGCCATGTTGTCGAAGTGGTCGCCGCTTGGTCGAGTTGGACTTCCGGAGGATGTATCTGGTGTTGCTGCATTGATTGCTAGCCCCGATTCTCAATGGTTGACTGGCCAGACGTTCCAGGTATCGGGTGGAGCGTATATGGTTTAGGGAATGCTATTCAGAAAGACATTCATTTTCAGACTAGACAATTGTGTATTCTTTCCCAAGTTATCTATAATAATGGCAGATCCTCTGCAATAACTCAGGCTATAAGTACGATTAGTCCTAACGATGTCTAGGTCATAGGGACATGCCTAACACTTTCGCCTTTTTGCCAGAGCACGGTGACTTTGGGAATGGCTATCAACCTAGCTGCCCAGGAAGTAAACAATTCTCTTACTGGCCTTTGAATTAAAAGCTGTCGTATTCCCCGAGCCCCCCCACCTGCCACAAAACGCCCCAATCAGCGAATAGAGGGGATTCAAAAAGGATTTGGCCCCATCGATCCCTCGCAACTTCGAGCTTTCTAAGTAGCGTCATAAATCTCTTCAACACAGATCCCGCTGTCGCAACCGAAAAAGAAAAGTCGACCGCGAAACGGCAGCTCTAGCGGGATGTCTTCAACTTGTTATGAGGTTAACATCGTCCTCGTCGGTGATGCGGGGGTGGGAAAGGTAGTAGAAATGAAGCCCGCATTGCCCGTCCGTTGCTAATACTAATTAACCAGAGCTGCTTCATTCGAAAACACCAAACTGGCGAATTTTCTCATGAATACACCCATACTCTGGATGTTCAGTCATCTCCTCTCCCGTGGAACACGGTACGATACAAAACTGCTAGAAACTACCCAATGGCCGCGTGAAACTGATGGGAGGGAATATAGACTGCTGGGTATTTGGACGTGACTGTGTGGGAGATTCCTAGTAGCAACGAGCTATCCCCTAGGAGCCGGGAGACCCTAAATAATGCCGATGCAGCGATCATCCTTTTTGATATGTGTGACACAACGACCTTAGACCATGTTCCTTGTTGGGCACGTAAGTATCTTGCTCTTGATTTAATTATATTCGCTGATCACTAAAGATTTGCAGATGAGCTACGTTCGTCTACACATGATTCTTTACCCATGGTAGTATGTGGGAATAAGGCCGATAAGGCCAACAGAGGCCACCATGGTATACAAAATACAGTTCAGAGCGAATATTACGAGATATCCGTCTGGGATAACTTGAATTTAGAAGAGCCATGGTTCTACCTATTTCGAGAAATTTTCAAGGAACCGAACCTGGTAGACCTACCCAGCTCGCAGGGGTATTTTGTACTAACGATGGTCCTAGCAATCTGCCCCTACAATTTGTTGCTTACCTGCTATAGAAGTCGACGAGACACTTGCGATCCAATGGCAGGCAGAAATGGAAAGAGCTGCGAGAGAACCCCTCCCAGGCGGCTCAGATGATGATTCTGGTTTATGATGCGGATCACTGGGCAAGTTCTGAGATGCAACAATGTATACTCCTCATTCAACCAAATGAGCATCAAAAGAAAGTGATGGTCCATGTGTCTCGGGTTAATGTTTACGCTCCTTCAGTCTATAATTGATGTGATTCATATGCGGCACAAGTTGAGAGAACAACTTTCGAGATATCTTGTCTTTGCGGATTCGATGATCGGTACGGATCACGGCATTCCGAGACCTACAATGTAGTACATTTCATCCACTCAGAAGCCTTGAGCAAACGAAATTTCAATAGAACCCCCCCCCCCTCGGCCAACAAGAATTCAATCTCACACACTCAACTTTCCGTAATCTATATTTTGATTTGGCTCCTCGAAGTGCGTAGACAAGGTAGTGGTAAGGCTCCGCAAAAATCGAGATGAAAATTGAGACACCAGAGTTATTCAAAGGTAGCCCTGTACTTGGTCAAGACATCCTGGAAAGACATGGGCTTGCGTCCGGTAAGGGTTTCAACAGTATTGCTAGTTTTAGCCATATAACCCCGTGCCACCATTTCACCACAGCACAAAAGATCATCAATACAGAGCTTCATCGGGATTTGAGAGAAATCCCCCCGAAACATCAGTTGGCAATCCGCGTTCTAGCCAATATTCCTTCATTTCCTGATCTGATACTGTCACGAAATTCCCCTGGCTTTTGAAATTGCTGGAGATCCACTGGAAGACGTCCTCATCTGTTATAGCCTCGGGGCCCGTCACATCGTAAATTTTGTTAGGCTCGCCACGACCCAAGAGGATAGCAGCTAGCACTCTGCCACAGTCTTCACGTGCGACATAGGCACCAGGAGCTCCTCCCGAATTCGAGACCCAGCGATTATCGCAGAAAATCCAGGACGGAGCGAAGAAATTGGGGATGTTCTCAACGTATAGGTCATTGCGTTGAATGTTGTATTCCAAGCCGGAGGCACAGATGAGAGCCTTGGTTTGTTTGTGGTCTCGAGGCAAAAAGGGCATTTCGTCAACTGGTGCTGGATCATCGGCACCCACGAATGAAGTGTAGCAGATTCGTCGGACACCACACTCCTTGGCAGCGTCGATTACATTTTGTGCTTGTTGGTGACGACGACCGAAAGCCCAAGTTGATATCAAGGTCACAGCTTCAGCACCGGCAAAAACCGCTCGAAGGCTGTTTAGATCGTCATAGCTGGCTGAGGAGACCCTTGCCCCCTTTATCTGACCATTTGCCACGGGTATCCTTTGAGATTTTATCAGGGTTGGAGCAGGTGAAAACAAGAGTGCTGTCTGGAGGGTCAATTTCCAGTGCATAGGATGCTGCTATACTGCCAATTCTCCCCCCAACGCCAGTCAGAACGTATTTGGGCATTTTATGTATGAGTCAAATATATAACTGCGAAAACGAAGATATTTTCAAGGTTGCAAAGGCAGAATTCGGCACAAGAAAGATTTTAAACAGAGAAATCGGTGATGTGGGGAGGGAGAGGGGCTGAAGAGGCAACATAACAAGCAGAACACTCTGTACTAGAAGGTCCATTATTTATCTCTGAAGAACAGGTTGGCAAAGTGGATTGACGCTATGGGGTTATGTAGGTACAATACCACGCATGGCCAATTGGGTTGTGGTTCACAGCCCCTGCCAGTCAGATCGGCTGCCATATCGGCACTTGACTTGTTCTACTGGATCATCTCCAAATTCGAGGGTAGTAAATAGAGATAGAGATATCAGATGCAGTTAATTGGGATCCTTTAAAAATGAAGTGTAAGACCCGCTTACAACCTACAGATTAGGTTATAGTTTAATCTCTGTGGTGGTCTTGGCGAGAACTTCTTCAGGTCGAATCCCGAACCCCACATCATTGCCATTCTCACACATCACATTCAAATATGGTGCCCCAAGCCCTTGATTCCCTTTCCAATTCACCAGAATGCTTGCAAGAATTTCAGATTCTATCCGATCTTCATCTGGAGGTCAATCGAGAGTACGATTCGTTTGAGATACCAGTTTGTTCGAAATATCTGATTTTGGCTGGCGACATCGGTCGTTTGGTGGACTACGACGAATATCTTGCATTTCTTGAGAAGCAAACACGAAAATTCCAAACTGTTTTTCTAGTCCTTGGAAACCATGAATTTTATGGGCTTTCGTTTGATTCGGCACTCGAGAAAGCCAGAAAACTTGAGCAAGAACCATCCTTAAAAGGACGGCTCGTATGGCTCCACCAACATCGGGTCGATATACCAGACAGCAAAATCTCTATACTAGGCTGTGTGCTATGGTCTCATATCCCAGAAAATACAAAAGAAATTGTCAGTTCTAGAACAAAGGATTTCAAGCACATTCAAAACTGGACAGCGAATCAACACAACGTTGTTCATACCTCTGACCTGACTTGGCTGCGGAGAGAACTCGACAATATCCACCACGAAAACCTGAAAAAGCCCTCGGAGACACGGTCTGTTCTAGTGATAACACACCATGCTCCTTCTTTGCAGGGAACTTCAAACCCCAAATATGAGAACAGTCCGTGGAGCTCCGCCTTTGCGACAGATCTCTTATCCCAGGGATTGGACGGTGTCAACACTTGGGTTTTCGGTCACACACATTACTCCACCGAATTCAATAGAAATGGGATATTGGCTGTGAGTAACCAGCGGGGATATATTATCTCGCAGAATAATGAGCCAGTAGGGTTTGATCCAAAGAAGGTGATTCGTGTATGATATCGAAAGTTGGAGCCTAATATTTTTGAGAAATTAGAAGCAATGAAAATTATCTTCTGTTGAATGAAGCCCAACAAACTATTCCTACTCTGAAAGCTGTTTTCGAGGTGCAGGGCCGCCTTTTGATGGCGGTGGTCTAGAATGCGGCCGCAAAACACCGTCCCTGCCATCTTTGTTTCCAAGATTCGGGTAAGGGCAGGGATGAATTTTAACCGTAGCAGAATGGATTATCAAGATAAAAGGTCTCGAAAATAATTGGACCCCAATAATCCCCAGAAAATGATGACAAGTGTCGTGGAGATCCTATAGACTACTAGTGGCCTTCGTTCTTCGTGATCGATTATAGAATTCTACAATATTTTGCATATTCGACACAGCATAATCCTACAACTTCTACTTTTCAAGCTGTAGCCAATGATAAGACATACGAGTCTTTGAAATATACATGTTGGGGTATGGTAAAATGGCCGATGACAGTATGTACAGAATGAGTGTCGCTAGTATCAAATCACAAGGGAAATATTCACCACTGTCGTCAGCGAGTCCCGTTGAACGCCGGATCCTTGACACGTGTTCGCTGGATGGAAGTATTTGAGGCACGGCCATCAAGTAGCTTTAGGCCAGGCGCAGGAAGTACAGGGGCGCCGACATCTTGACTGTGAGTCTCAAGGGCATCGAAGACATGACCAAAGACTTGGCGATCTACATCTGACGCCCACAGGAAGTCCAGATGTTCATATGTGGGGATTGCCTTCGCCGTAGTACCACGTGGCAGTCCTCGAAGCATCACATTGATGTCAACAAGGCTGTCGCTGTCGCCGTAAAGCAACACGATGGGGGTTTTAATGTTGCGGGTCGGGTACTTGACGGGTTTGTAAAAACGCTCGCTATCAACAATGCTGAAAGGGGCGTAGATCTCATCATCGTAGAATTGAAAACTTCTGTTGCGGATGATTTGGAACCAGTGTACGACGGACTTTGTGCTTGTGAACGAGTAGAGGTGGAGATAGGCGGCAAGCTTTTGCGTGCGGGTAATGTTGCGACAGCGCCAGTTGAACAGGGCCGCCAGCGCTGTGTCGATGATGCGAACATATATCGGAGGGTAGAGGATAGTCTGCCACATCGTCGTTGAGGAAAGAATGCTTCGTCGGCCGAATAGCAAGAATAGAAAATCCGGGGAAGCCTTCATGAGTGAGTCGACAATCCGATTGCGGAGACCCGAGGGAGCCATTGCGGGAGCCAGCGCCACGAAAACATCGATTTTTTGGTTCAAGAGAGGATGAATGGAGAGGGTTGCAAATGCCTGTGCAGTTCCCTGGGAGAATCCAATGTACGATAATGAGGGCTGGCCTGTCACTTCGAGAATGTACTCGATGCTATTGGGAATATCGTGAAAGGCGAACTGATCGATCGAGAAATCCCAGAACTCATTTGAGCCAGGTGAATGGTGAACGGACTTTTTCGCATATTTATTGCCACGGTTGTTACCTAGCCAGACATCGTACCCTTTCTCCACTAGCTGGAATGGAAGGCATCGTTGCTCATCTGTCAGGACAACCCAAACTTCGCTCGACATGAGTAGGCCGTGGTGTAGGTAAACGACCTTTTTGTTGAGACCACCGGGCCCTTGATTGACCCTCATGCCTTCCTCGCCTTTGCGGTAGGCCAATCGATGTAACCCCAGTAGATATCCATCAGTGGTCTGGACAATATGTTCTTCCGCTTCATATCCAAAGAGTGCGCAGATGTCGGTAAAATCAGAGGCTTCGGCTACTGATCCAGCGAATATCTCCTCGGCGGATCTTTTTTCGCGTATCTCGGCGGGGAAAATGGTGTTGAAGACGGCCTTGGATGAGTCGTAGCAGAAGCGAATGATCGGCGTTGCTGAAGTCACAAGTCAGTCGCATTTCTCAATCAAGGTCTGGAGCAAGAGTTTGACTCACGCAAACAAAACGTGATAACATGAATGATTGTTTCGAGTACCACAAGGATCAGAGATCCGAAAAGTGCCAGGTACTCGAACCTAGAGAGTTTTGTGTTAGTTTGCCGCAAGCTGGCAAGGTACCGGGTACCTGGTAGACACAAAGTACATACCAAAACAGTCTTCCAATAAAAGGAACTCGGGCCATTGTGAAGTGTGACCCAGTCCACGTCTGTATATATATGTTCGGAAAGGTCTATATCCACAGAATAAAGGAGAATCGCAAACAGAGCGAAAGGGAGAAGGAGAGGAAGCTTCGAAGCGACGTCACTGGGGGGCGGAGACGGACTTACCTCATCCGGGGTTGACCAATCAGGGTGCGCGCGATGGTCCGAGTTTGCCATTGAATTGGGATTCCGCGACTGTCCGTCCGTCTGTTTTGGCGCATTCGCATTTGCATTTAAAGAAGAGGAAGGCACGTCGTCATGCCGGGCTCGTGTCAAGAACTCCGTAAGTTGCAACGTTTCCCCCGTGACTGGCTTGTCCCAGCGCAACGGTGGATTCACTCCGAGTCGCATCATCTGAGCTAACCGCATGTCCACACTCTAGGAGACGCGGTGGCTCAATGCCTCCAGAATTCGGACTGTGTCATGGTCCACCGCAACAAGCCGGGGGACTGTTTGAGATCACCGAACTTCGAGACTCTCTCTGAGCAATGTCAGCAGCTGGGCAAGGCGTTCAACCAGTGCAAGTGAGTTGATCATACGGTGGACGTCAAAAGGAGGGGACAACTCCGACACCGAGAGACAAATCGCTAATTCGTGACCTTTTTTACTTTCTAGGCGCAACCAGATCGATATGACCAAGCGATTCCGTGGAAATACACCCATTGCCGCAGCAAAGGAGAAGGAAGCTCGGAATTCTGGCTCGTCCGATCAGCTATATGCTGGTCGTCCAGCCTATACGACTGTCAAGGAGCTCAGCGGAGATGAAGTACAAATGGATCCAGAGAAGACCCGTGGGCTGTAAGAGTCAGGCAACCTGAAAAAAGGCCCGAAGATGATATCTCGTCAAGTAGGGTGGCGTGGTGGAGAATGTCGAGATGCCCAAGGCTCCCTCGGTGTGCACCATCTTTTGTGCAGAGAAACTACCTACTCTCGTTCATGCTGGCATGGTCTGGGGTTTTTTCTTGTCTTTGTTTTGAATACTACCTTTAGCAGCTCCATTGGCGCAATCTCCCAATCTAGAATACACCAGAGATAATATCTCATCATAAATACGTCGCATCACAATCAAACAGCATGCCTCTACGAACATTCGAGTTTCACAAGCAGAAATTTGATATCATATTTAAATTGAAAGAAAGGAAGAGATTTCCCAATCGTCATTCACAATAGTATGGTATGCAGGGTTTACTGCGTCTTCTTGAGCTTATCAGCAACAGGTGCTGAGTAGAGCCAGACAACAACAAACGCCAGGAACCCTCCAATCACCGACCACAGACCAGCAATCCAAACCCAGCCACCGCTGATGGCCCAGCTACGTGGGTACTCGTCGTGAGCAAAATGACGCACAGTCACCTCGTGCTTCTCCTCGACATTGGTAAGGAAAGGTCGCTTGTAGTTCACACGGAAGGAGAAAATGCCGTGCTGATCAGGCGTGACGAACTGAGCGCTGAAGACAGTGCTGGTCTCAGTCTTACCGGTAGGCTGGAGAGCCAGACGGTGGAAGGGGGACAGCATGGTAAACTCCAGCTGCAGCTCATCCCCGGCGGGAACCTCGAAGGGAACCCACTTATCGTAGGCATATTCGGACATCTCAATACTGAAGAACTGTAAAAAAGGATTGGTGGTTAGCATGAGAAGAACCATTATCTTGATACTAGGATTCACGTACAGTCTCGTTCTTGATACGGTAGATCTTAGGGTTGAGGTCATCCACAGAAACCTCGCCGTTAGTAGCGAGATGGTGCTCGATCTTGTCAACCTTCAGGACACCAGTTTCCTTGAAGGTCCATGCAGTCAATTGCTTCGCAAACTCGCGGTTGGCAGTGGTGGTTTTCTTGCCGCCGGGAGTCTTGACAGTCGCCGAGAACCACTTGTCCTCCAGAGCCTCGACGGAGCCAAGGATGGTGAGGCGAGCCGAGTTGCGGGACTGCAGAGCAGAAACAATGTTCAGCTGGGATCCAGTCGCCTCAATGTCATCGGCCGCTGGGATTTCCTCCTTGGGGTTGTAGGCATAGGCGGTCTCAGGAGCACGAAGAATGGGCGAGATCAGAGGGCTAGTGTTACCCAGGGTCTGAGGAGCAACACGGGGAAGTGCGAGGACACCCTCGCCATCGAAGAAGGCCTTGACGTCAGGACGCAGAGGTCCAGGACGGTTGAGGAGGAGCACATCGTGCTTCTCGGTAGCCGAGACGGTATCGTAATTGAAGTGGTCGACAACAACGGCGGAACGGTCATTCGACAGGTGGATATCGAATTCGAGGAGGAGGGAGCTGATGGCGCTGGAAGTGGAGGACTTGCCAGAGAGGGCAAGGATGATGTTGCCGTCCTTGTCCAGGAAGTCCAAGACGTTTTTCGGGGTAAGGTTGGGGCCGAGGCCTAAAAAATTGAGTCAATTGATAACTATACATGGTGATGCGAATCATTCCTACCCTTGGATTTCGGAGGGAGAATCAGAAGGTGGTCGTAAGCTCGCTCGCCATGCTCAAAGAGGGACAAGCTGTCGCTTTTGGGCGACTTGAAGGATAGGTCGTAGCCGCGGCCTGGAATTGAGGTAAGCATAGCCCATTCTCAGTCAAAAAGATCCAATTACCTTCCAGGTCAGACCACAATGTCGAGTAAGCGCTCTTCTCAGTGGACTCGTCCAAGACGACCAGCAGACGGCTGCCGGAGCTACTAAGAGCGTTGACCGCAGCCAAGAAGCAGCAGAGAAGCAACGAAAGGCACCACTTCATCTTGAAGGAATTCCGCACAGCGGATCACACACCAGGCTAGAAGATGAAGTGAACGGAAAGAAAACGACCAAAGTGCGGAGGAGGGGGAGTTGAAGTTGTATAGATCACCCGAAAGGGCGACGTGTTACTGGGCCGGGCGCCAAGACTTCTGGGTCGCATCTCCGAACTTCGAAGTTCACCTCTTCCCCACGGCCCTCCCGACTTTGAAACCTCCCCCGCTCACCACACCACCCTCAATCCCTATACCACTGGGCTCTCCCTGTCGCTTTTGATCCTCCCGGTCTCTGGCTGTGATCTACTCTGCCTCAGGTCTTCTGACGACCCCGCCATCCGAAAACTTCTCTCAAATCCCTCGTCGTTCGACACCTCTCGACCACCATGTCCCACCCTTATCTCTGGAAGCAGCCCGGCCGCTGGGTGCGCTGGGCTGCTCATGAGAAGCCTGCTATCTTCTTCTCTTGCCTGATTGGTATTTCCGGTCCTATCATGCTGGCTGTCCTGCCTCCGTTCCGCCGGGCTCTGGGTGACTACGACCCTGCCCCCATCCCCATGTCATACCCTAGTAAGTGACATCACTCCTCTGTAGATTCTTCAGCAACACCAAGGAGATTATCCTGGGTGAATTATTAGTCCGAAGCTGACCACAAGCTTCAATGCGCACAGTTCCGTCCGGCCCGCGTTCACCCCCCAAGGGCTACGAGGACGAATAAAGAGATCGAATCATGTATATCGGCCCACTGAGAGTGAGGCAATAAAAAACCGACTCGAATCGTCTCGAATTTTGGAGGGAGTTGAATTGAATCGATATGGGAAGACGATCCGGGGTTTAGCAATGTCATCTGTGTGTGGCTGGTTGCCGTTGATCGAGACCGGCTTTGCCTTACGATCGTCCTGATTTTCCCCGTGGAAAGGTGCTTTGATACCAATATTGCGTGTGTGTGCGCGGTCTTGAGATGGTCGAATCTCAAGATATTGGCGCTGCTGTGTATGTACTATGTTTTAGAAAGTGATATAACCGACAACCTTGTCGCTTTCCTTTGTTCAAGAATCCTTACATATCCGCCATTTGTAGAGAGTCGAGCTATTACAAGAGTCGAACATTGTCACACGCTATCCCCGCTTGACTGCTGTGATTCTCTTAGTACACTACAAATACAAATGCTAGGTCTGAGCTGACCATTGAAAGAGAGCTAATAGGTCAACGACCTCCCGGGGGTTCCCACCGTTGATATCTCTTCACTGACATCCATGGATTTTAATCAATTCCTACTGCATCATCAGCATACTTCCTGTGAGTGATATTTGCATAATCGTCAAAAGTTTCAACAGGCTAGTACTACATAGAAAGTTCATCGGGGCTTTCGTGCACTACCATGGACTTCCAAGGTTCCTCCCAGGGCTAGTTGAAATATATTGGGCAAATTCACATTAGACAGTGTCTGATGTGCATTATTGTGTCGACATCTATTATACCTCCAGGGTGCAGGCCAATGTTATTCTTTAAGTTCAAGTTGGTGCTTGTGTTTAGACGGGAGTTTATTTCCAAGGTTGCCGGTCTTTCCTCCAAAACCTCCGAGTTCAATTCTTCTTTAATTCAGACTTGTTTCTAAGGTTATTTGTCTGTCTGGCTATTTCAAGTAGTTCCAACGTATTAGTGTGATAAAATGCTTACGTTGGCTGCTGGCAAAGGTAACAAAGAACTTGGCCCGATGGCAGGGCAAAACTTGAGCAATATATTGCAGTTCTTAAAGCGTAAAATTACGAGTCCAAGATTTATTATAGAAAGCCAAGAAATGAATGAAAAAGGGTTCAATTATGTTGAGAACCAATCAAGTAATGAAAGCATCATCCACATCACAGATAAACGCCGTAAATGCTCATATCTACATGTAGGCTCATCAGTATCGCTTGACCAAAGCAACTTTCCCAGTAACCACGAGGAATGAAAACACATTGGAAAAAGCAAACAAGACCAGGCAAGCCTCCCCCCACAGCAGGCGAGACGGGGCAAATAAGAGGCGGGAAAAGGTAACAGTTGCTAAAGACCACAATTCCTGTACACCGTGAAAAGAAAATTGAAAAACCGAGGCAAAGCATTGGATCCAACATGGCAAGTATCCGGGAGAGCCATAAAGAATAAACGAGCTCGAATTCAAGAAAGCCACCTTTCCTAAAAACCTCAGTTCAACGCAGAATGCTCCGACTCCTATCCGGCAAGCTGCACGATAGCGCAGGGTATTAAAACAGAGGAAGTCCCTCCAGAGAGACCAGGCTCGTCTTGATGAAAGATGACCAGTGGGTTTCCAGCGGAGGTCCAGTCCGGCCCATGGCAAGGCAAAAATGTAAAGGGCATTCTATGTCCGACGGATCGTGGAGAGTGGTCTCGACTGGGGGCCGCACATAATGAATTTCATGTCCAAAATGGGAATTTTCCTGGACCAAATTCAAAAGAAAGGACAGAGGGAGAAGTATTCTCGCGGGATTTCAAAAGGGCGAGAGGAAGTTGAGCCGATATGGTAGAAGGGGAGAGTGTCCAGGAGAATTTTTGTGTTCGTCGACATCATTATGTCCCAGGGTTGAAGTATGGTCCAAGGATAATAAAAAGCAAAAGAAAAATAACTGATCATCATTCCAGTGGGCCACAATGCTGGGGGAGAGAGGAGTCTCGCACAAGACAAGGGCCGGTATACATTTCTGGTAAATTTTTTTGGGGTATTTTTTGATTTGTTTTTTTCTTGTTCTTCTTACCGCCGACGATGGGGTTCCCGTTCGCGGGCTGGCTGCGGCCTACTGCGCTCATATTCCGGTGTGTATCTTGGCTCCATTCCTATCCGAGGGTCTGGGGCAGTAGTGGTAGGATACGCCATCCCGGTAGTCACGGGGGAATAGTCCGACTCGGCATCATAACCAGGTCCTGGGTATCTGGGGGCATTTCGGCCACCGCCCTCGTAACCGTAGCCAGTGTTCGAGTAGGTATAGGAAGAAGGATGCATATCAGCAGCCGTCACAACCGGCTGGGATGAGCCAGAATAGGAGACCTGAGGCGGGGGGTATGGGGCCTGGCCTGATCCGTATGGCGAGTGTGTGGAGCTGTAGGAAGGGTTGTTGTTGTAAGGAGCACTCTGGGATCCGCTGTACGGACTCTGGGAGTAGGGGTCCATGTACTGTTGTGCGGGAGCAGCACTGAAAGTGGTAGGGGAAGGCCCCTGTTGTGGTTGTTGCTGCTGGCGAACCTCATGCATGCCTGATGAGGCATAGTTCGCTGGGACAGTGTTAGGGGCATGAGAAATGTTCATATCTTGAACGTAACTACCTCTCGGATAGCCTAAATCAGCCCGTCGGGACACGTCCGCCTCCCAACGAGCGGAGTCAGCTTTCAAATCAGCAATCATCTCCTAGATAATCCAAAAAGGTCCGCTGGTTAGATGGTTTATTCCTTTGGTTCGATCTTCGGTCTGGTTGCTCGAATTTTGCACTTACAGATGTGAGATTCCGATAGGCACGGATGAAGAAACCCGGGCGGCCCTGCGGAATAGGTTAGTCTAAACGCCCGAAATTACGTATTTTAATCAAAGCACAAAAGGGTGAGACGGACATTGTGGTTTCCGGGTCTCACGAGAGCATCATTCCCAAGGTAGCGACAGATATCTGCTTGGATCACCTCGCGGCTGATACCATCGCCCGGGATAAAGTATTCATTTTGACGGCCTGTCATAGTGTATCCTGAGGAAATATCCTGTGATGAAAGAGCACCTCAGGTCCGGCTGGGCCAATAGAGAAAATGAAAATTCCGGGGAGAAGATGAGTTCCTTGGAGGTCCTTTAGGAGATGACGGTAGATGGTTGGGCTCCGTTATATTGGATGAAAAGTACAGGTTTCTTTTGTCTATTGAGCGACCGGGAAAGAGTCCAAGGTCGGTCGTCAACACTTTAATTGACGAGAAAGTTTCGAAATCCAGGGGAGAATGAAGAATCGACAGAACAGTCCAGGGAAGATGGCCTCAAGAGAATTAATGGATCCGCAGTCGGAAGAATAGCAAAATGGTGTCCTTGGGAAAATAATATCCGGGAAGTCCTTGGGTTTCACAACTGGTTGTCCGGTAGTATCCTTTGGGTTATATCGAAATCAAATCAACGTGGCCGAGCGACTGAATCAAGTCTGCGAGGCTGAACGATGACAAGACAAAAGAGGAAACGAAGAGAGACACAGAGAGAGGGGGGGTGAAATCCTCTGGGTTGAGTATGGTCACGCTATGAGTCCGATCGGAGGGTCCAAGTGGGGGGGTGATGCACACGGAGAAGGTCGGGAAGAAGAGGTTGGAGAGTGAGAAGAGAAAGGTTGAAAGAAGAGGGGGGGAGAGAGGAAGAGAAGAAGGGGAGGGGGGCGAACTAAAGTGGATTCAGAGGGCGGTTGGGCCGTCCTCTTGGGCTGGTGCCACGACTTCCCCCACTATCAAAGCAAAGCATGCACGGTCGAATACGGCTTAGAGGATGTGCAACCCTGCCTGTAGCCGCCTTGTGCGGTCTCAGAGTCCTGACCCTGGTCAGGCACACATTTTGGTACGGCTACGTTGAAAAAGGGTCGATCCCCCCCATCAAATTTCAGCTTGGATTGCTACTCAGTCTGTGCCCTCTTGAAGGCTGCCGGTTGACCCCACTGAGCCTTGATCTTTCGGAATCTGCAGTGCCGATAGGACGAAAGAGGCAGACAGAACGAGAGAAAGCGGTCAACCTGGTAGCAGATAGGCACTAGGTGTTTAGCGACAGTAGGGCGCGCGTGGTGAAATGTACTCTCTCGGGGACTACCCTCCGAACTCGTGAGCAAGTCCAACGTTGGACAAATCGGGCCTGGGAGGGTTGATCCTCTTGCATCTGCAACTTGGAGGGCAGTAAGGGCCAATCTGCTTGTAGATCGAGAGTACGAGCAAAAAGACGTTTGCCACCAGTCAAACCTGGCGGAGTAGGGCGTTGGGCAGGAATGCGTGGCTTTGGGCACCGCAGGCCGCCACTCAGCGATCGCCCGTGTCAGCGCGCGCTCAAATCGGAGATCAGTTGGTTGGTCTCGACTCGGCAGATCCTGCACGAGAGTGATGTGACCGTGGCAGCGCCGTCATTATGGAGGTCCACAGATTGTTTAACGAACAGTCCGGAGGGGAAAAAAGAAATTAATCGTCTCTTTTCTAATCTGACGAGATTTGACTTTTGGACCATGTGGAATAGGTTGCTCGCAGCAGGTGCTCTGGGGATGTTGTGGATGTGGTTGCTGCGGGTGGCGAGGTGGTGGTGGTGATGATGATTATGATGTCTACGTGGACAGAGGTTGGAGGCTGGGTCATCTCATCGTGCCTTCCCTACATTGGGACGCCCTGTAGAACGCTCCTTCCCGCTGAGCAAGTCTACTTTTGTGTCAACAATGGATCCATGGTTCCAGAGATCCCCGTGACTAATCTACGCCTGAGGCTCCAAACCACGTGCCCGGCGCTAACCCCCCTTCGGAATGATTTCTCAAGGACCACAGTCACGTAGGCTTCGCGTAGACCTGCGGGAAGACTTCACCAAATTGAAAAAAAAGAGTCTCGGAGGGTTTGAATTGACCGCTAGAGTCGCCATGACGCAGCACCGAGCATGTCGCCTGCAGATTCGCCCAACGCGTCCCCCGATGCCGTGAAACGTTCCCGCTATACCCTTCGACAGCTCCACCTACTTCGCCAGGGCTCGACAGCCACGCCGCTCCGCGCGATTGCTCACATTGACCTTGATGCATTCTATGCACAATGTGAGATGGTCCGTCTGGGGACGGACCGCGATACTCCCCTCGCTGTTCGCCAGTGGGACTCTTTGATCGCTGTCAATTACGCTGCTCGACCGTCTGGTATCACTCGCATGGTGACAACTGCCGAGGCCCGCAAATTATGCCCGAATATCGTCCTACAACATGTCGCGACATTTCGTGAGGGTGAAGGTGGTCAATGGGCTTACCGTGATGACTCATTCAAGAATATCCGAACCGATAAAGTCTCCCTGGATCCATATCGTGCAGAATCTCGAAAGATTCTCAAGACGATGAAGGAGGAGCTAGAGCGATGGTCTGCCGACGGTGTGGATGAAGAAATACAAACACTGACGCAGGGTCTAAGTGCCTCCCTGGAGAAAGCAAGTATCGATGAAGTGTTCATTGATATGTCGCCCTTAATTTACCGCGTCTTGCTACAAAGGTTCCCTGAGCTACGACAAAAATCGCAAGACGATAATCGAGACGCCGAGCTTCCGCCACCTCCAACAACAGCGATTCCATGGCATGCTGGAGATTCCCTGATTGAGCTGGATAAACATGAGAGGGAAGAGGATGATCCAGATTGGGATGATGTCGTGATGCAAATTGGGGCCGAGATCGTTCGATCGGTGCGTACTGCCGTATGGAACCAGTTGCATTATACCTGCTCCGCTGGTGTCGCGCGAAACAAGATGCTTGCCAAGCTTGGCAGTGCCTGTAATAAACCAAACGCACAAACAATTCTGCGAAATCGTGCTATTCAGTTCTTCTTGAACGGCTACAAATTCACACAGATTCGCATGCTTGGTGGCAAATTGGGCGAGCAAATCACCTCAGATTTCGGTACCGAGCAAGTGAGCGAACTGCTTAGCATTCCCTATGAGCAATTACGCGCAAAGCTTGATGACCACACAGCCAACTGGCTCTACGGAGTCATTCGTGGCGAGGATCGGAGTGAAGTCAATCCTCGAACACAGATCAAGTCCATGTTATCCGCCAAGTCTTTTCGTCCAAGTATCAACTCCGTTGAACAGGCAGAAAAATGGCTGCATATATTTGCTGCGGATATCTATGGCAGATTGGTGGAGGATGGTGTGCTTGAAAATAGACGCCGTCCTCGGGTCATTACGCTGCATCACCGGGTCGCGCAATCTCGATCTCGGCAAATTCCAATCCCAGGGTCGAGTAAGATTGACGAAGACTTGCTTTTTGATCTTGCCAAGAACTTGCTTCGACAAATCGTTGCAGAAGGACAAGCTTGGCCTTGTTCGAACCTATCCTTAAGTGTGAGCAGCTTCGAGGATGGCGTGAGCAAGAATAAAGCAATCGAAGGGTTTCTTGTTCGGGGCGACCAGGCAAAGTCTATCAGTCAGTCTACAAGACCCCGTGGAGTTGACAGCACTTCCAACGAAGTCCTTCCGGCAGAGAAAAAAAGGAGGATCGACGATGGCGGGATCAAACGCTTCTTTACTCACTCTCCCTTCCCGGATGATTCGAATTCGGTACCTGCCGGTAACGAGAGCCCTCCGCCAGCAGATCAAGTCTCATCCGATGCACCTTTAGGCGATCCCGAGCCTATATCATTGCAATATACCTGCGATCGTTGTTCGAAAGTCATACCAGAGTATGAACGAGAAGAACATGACGACTGGCATTTCGCGAAAGATCTGGAGCTTCAAGATCGACAGGAAGCGATGTCTGTACAACAGCAGTCACAGCAACAAACTCCCCCCAAATAGCGCTAGGGGCTCCAGCACCCGCGGAAGAGGTGGCCGCAGCCGTGGCAAGCCTGAGAGAGGACAGAAACGACTTTTCTTTCAGTGAACTTGCAGCCAAATCCAAAACTATGAGGCCACTAGGCTGGCAGTGGCCGATCATTGTACCAAGGTTTTCATCTAGAAGCTCGTACTGTATCACTGTGGTGTACATTATGCAATGAGATACATTATATGTCTGCTGTCAATATACTAGTACGCTGTTGTCCCTATTTCCACGTGCATTCTTGTAATCCTATGCTATCCTTGGTTTAACCCGACCAGCCACCCCGCTCCAGAGCCACGGATCACACCCCGGTTCTCCGAATTCAATCCCAAGTAAACAAAGAACTAGATAGAAAATAAACACACGAAGATATACAAAACTACATCCAAGGGCCATATTTCCTTCCGAATCGGTTCAGCCCTGCCAAAATTCCGCGCCCAACCGCTGATCGTTGCTTGCGATGCGCTGCGATGCGATGGTCCGCGTGGCTGTGACATCAGCGGGTCGTGGGGTCATCGGGCATTTCCAAGGGCTGAAGGTTGCTCAGCCTCCACCTCCCGTTTGCTCCTCTACTCTTTTCTGCAGTCACATTAGCTCGTGGCTGATGAGTTCCCCTCTGTGACCATACTTCCCCTCTTCTTATCCTTCTATCCTCTTATCTTTATTGTCTCAAGTCGTTGTCGCCAAGCTTGTTTCTCCTAGATATGCCTTGATCGGCAGTACTGCGCCAAAGCCCCGCCTTCGCTCGAGTTGACCAACATTTTGGATAGTAGCCCTCATCGTGCCGGACACTGGCTTTTGGACCCAGTGGCCATTTCGTCGTGGAGAGTATAGTCACGAGACTAGATCAACCTGACTTTGCCAGGGCCCAATGATCAAGAGCTTGATCCTTGGGAACCCCCCTCGATAGCCCCGAATTCCTGCCCATATCTTGCATGGACGTCTACCCCACCAAGTCCCGAGCAGCGATTACAGGTCAAAGTCCTCTTTTTGAGACACCTACGACTCGATAGAGAAGATTGGACACTCACGAATTTTTGCCACGACCAAATCCAAATGATCTCGCGCCCAACCCCCCCCCAACATCTCTTCGAATACCCCTCACCGCTGCCATGTCTCGCCGCGCGCCGCCTCAGGACTACTACGAAGAGGATGATTATGAATATGAGCGAGAACGATATTCCCGCCCACGTCGACGAGAGTCTGAATTTGCTGAGGATGTGGAATTTCGCCGTCGGCGATCAATGCCACCGCCTGAGGACATGGAAAGGCTGCGGACCCGGGAACGACCACCGCGCGATCTTGTACAGGAAAGTTTCGCACAGCCGAGAGAAAGGGAGCGGATGGCCCTGCGGAGATCTAGAGACGAAGTGGACGAGGCTGTTCGAGAGGTCGAGCGCGAACCTGACGAGCTTTACATGCCTTCGCGCCGGCGCCGCAGTCATCGGTCTCGTGAGATCGAGGAGGAGGAGCTCATTGCCGAAGAACGAGATAGACGTCGTGGTCCTGAGACCTCGAGAAGTCGAAGAAGAACTGATTTTCAACGAGAAGGAAAGGCGTCGTGGGCGCCGTCCAAGAGAGGTTGAGGAGGAAGACCTTTTGGTTGAAGAGCGAGAGCGACGTCGCGAGCGTCGGCCTCGTGAAATTGATGAAGAAGAGTTGATTATTGATGATAGAGAACGACATCGTGGTCCACGTCGGAGAGATATAGAAGAAGACGACCTGATCATCGAAGAAAGAGAAAGGAGGCGTGTCCCGCGTCATCGAGACCGCGAAGAGGAAGATTTGATTATCGAAGAAAAAGAGAAACGCCGCATGCGACGCCCTCGAAGAATGAGCGAAGATGAGCGCATGTTTGAGGAGAGAGAGAGACGCCGTGGCCCCCGACCTCCGGACCCCGAAGAAGAATTCATAGCTCACGAAAGAGAAAAGCGTGAAAGGAGGCGGCCTCGGCCAGACCGGGAAATCGAAGAAGAGGAACTGCTCTTTCGACGCAGAGAAGCACCAACGCCCCCAGGACAAGAAATCGATAACGAAATACCCCCGCGCCCAAGAAGCTTTGAAGAAGATAGAGATGAACCTTTGGCGAGATCCTCAGAATCTCGCAGGCGACCCCGACCACGCGGCACACTGGTAGAAGAAATCATAATTGACGACAGAAAACGAGAAATTCCTCCCCATGGCGGGAGAAACCGTCGAGACCCCAGAATCGACGAAGAGATTATTATGCGGTGGAAAGATCGACCCTCTCCTCGTGAGCAGGAAGAGGACGAGGAAATACACATTCGCGAGACAATGCGACACAGACGCAACCCACCAGAACCTATACCCGAACGAGAGCCGCCAGGTGCATTCCCAATCGAACAAGGAGATGAGTTCCAAGAGGATGTGGTGGTTGAGGAGATGACGCAAAGACGCTCACGCTCAAGGCCTCGTAGAACAACAGAAATTGTAGAGGCGGCCGAGGAGATCCCAATTCGCAAGGACAAGATGTCCCCGCCTCGAGATCTTTCACCAGAGCCTAGCATACATGCGCCTAGTATACATGTGCCTCCTATCCATCAAGATGTGATAACCCATCATCGACATATTGATCATGGTATGTTTTGCTGATGTACCCTGCTCCTGCCCGTGCCTCCACTGACAATGTTCACAGGATTTGAAGGTGCCCGGATGCCGCGTGCGCCTAGTCCAGAGATTTCTTCCACAAGAACCAGCATTGACGAAGTCGACGTTCGCCATCGGTATGTCACTAAAATTACCTGGCTTTCTAATTGCTAACCAGCCTCTGTAGAAGTACAAAAGGTGGTCGCAAATCCGAGGATGAAGTTGTTTTCAAGCATCGCCACGAAAAAGAGGAAGAAGAAGACGAGGATGATGATGAGTCGATTTCTCCAACCAGTGGGCCATCTCTCGAATTCTCCAATCCATGGGATAGCAGAACCACATATTCACGACGCAAGCCACCCCCGTTCGATGACGAAGGCATCTCCATGGCCGCGGAAACAGCGAATACCCGTGGGCGACGGAAGCCGCCTCGCGGGTTCGAAGGTAGAAAAGAAATCGAAGAGGGAGAAGAAGTCGAAGTCCATGAGAAGCGTTCCGTTCCTCGTTCCGCAGCTGGGCTCTCAAAGGGCACTGCCGACGAATGGTCTGCAACCGATACCATGTCAAAGATTGATGCGGCCGAGATGAGTGGAGCCTTGAGTGTCATCGAGGTGGCTCCGAAGCACGCAGTAGAAGAGGAATTGGAGCGTGAGATGGAGATCGGCCAGCAGGTAGAGAAAGAAAATCGCGATGAGCGATGGACGGAGATTACCAAGGAGCTGGTTGTTCGAGAAGCCATTGAACGACTTGGATATGAGTTTGAGGAGACCCGGAAGCATTACTATGTGTTCTCCTTTCTTGAACAAGTAAGACTTTGCCATCTTGATTTGATAGAAACCAAGCGGGAAGCATTGCTAATACTGACTCTGCTCTAGCGAGATATTGATGAGCTAATTGAGCTCTCTGATGAGATCCGAAGCGCGCGACGGCGGCGTATTCGTGAGATGCAGCGAGAAAGGACGTCTCTCCCACCACCACCTCGACCACGACGGTCTTCGCTTGCAGAAAGACTTCCGATGCGACCGCCACGCGTGACTGGAGAAAGACGGATGCGAGAACGAGAATGGATTATTGACCCTCGCCGCTCGGGCCGATTTTGAATGGTATATATGAGTTTAGGAATCAATGAAATCAAATAATGATGGTTAACCGGATTACCTACAAACTAAGCATGAAGCAATAAAAGTAAGCAGTAGTAGATACTACTAGTAAATACTTTTTTTGATCCTTTATGAATTCCATTTTCGCAGGCTGAAGTACCGATGTACCGTGACCTAGTTTACCCGTAGGCCTAGGAAGGTACCCTTTGTACAAAGCTCGCACCTGCAGGCAGCGTTTGGCATCATGATTGCCTCTTCCGGCACCCAGAGTGTTTGGAGTGTTTACTCCCTGGACCTCGTCACCAATGCTACTCTTTCATATTTCTCTCAGAAGAAATCAGACTCATAATGTTTGTTTTCACCTCCCATTCTTGCTCTGACTCCCAGATTCTGATAGTAGTTAGGCCATTTGCTTATCTCACACGCGGTTTGATGAACCTGCCCAACATGACTTGGCATATGAACATACCGAGCCGAAGCAGGACTCTTCAACCCGGGATGACTGGAGACAGTTCGAATACCCAGATACCTGAAAGAACTAACCTACTGCGAAATCTGGCCAAGGCCATGGGAAAAGAAAAGATCTCGACGTCACTCTGGGCCAGCCTTCAGGTGTGCGACCTCTCAAAACTGGAATCCCTCGTCGAACTCGTCTGCCTTTCACCAAACTCCACTATCGACTTCCTCAATACGTGCCCCAACCTCCCAAAGAGATGCCTCGAGGACCGATCCGTCCTTCAAAGCATTGCCTCAGGTGCCTCCAGCACATCCCGCGATAGCCTCTCCAAATGCATGCGGATCGTGGCCAGAAAACGAGACGGCCATCGCTGCGTTTTGACCGGAACCGCGAAAGTCTATCAGCCGGTTTGGATATTTCCAGAGATACTCGCACGGCCGGCTTTCGATTTCGATGTTCACTCACTAGGGCTATGGCGATTCATTGACTTATTCTGGGACCCCGCTAGAGTGCAGCGATGGCGCAACGCCGTCTTTCATAACCCCGACAACGCACCGAATGCCACGAGTGGCTGCTCAAGCCTGATATGCTTGCGAAGTGACCTTGCCTATGCCTTTTCAGTCGGGATGTTCGCCCTACGCCCTGTCCGACTGTCCCCTGACAATTGCGAGCTAGAGGTGGAATTCCACTGGCTGCCACGGGAGAAACACCGATTCAAAGACGTGGTGGATATTCACAAGCAAGCACTTCCTTATCAAAATCTGGATAGCGTGGAAGGACTAAGATTCTGTGCGATGGGCTCGAATGAGCCGGTCAAATCGGGTCATCGGTTCCGACTGACAACGGATGATCCTGTGAAGCGGCCACTGCCGGATTTCGACCTGTTGGATATGGCCTGGCACCTTTCGCAGATTGTGGCTATGTCATCGGCGATTGAATTGGTATGCCATGAGCCGGAAAACTCGAGAGTCCAAAGTGATGATGATAAGACTGTGAAGGATGCTTCCCCGTCACGTCGAACGTTGTCGAATTTTGATACCACCCAGCGAGTTGCGGAGTGGCTGGCGAGCGGCGCTGGGGGGCGTTGAATTAGCATGTCATGAGACGGGAAACCCGAGAGTCCAAAGTGATGATGATATGACTTCGAAGGATTCTCGGTCGTCACGACAATACGACAAATGTTGTCGACTTTTGATACCCAGGGAGTTGTGGAGTGGCTGGCGAGCAGTGCTGGCGAGCACGCTGGAGAACGTTGATGGAAATGATCTGTACAGTGCATAGCAGCTTGCATTTTCGTCGCAAGGAATCCATACAACTATCGCTCTCTATTAGAGAGTAATGGTAAACAAGAAGTGGCTTTTTACATGGAGCACTGGTTCCGCCACTAGGATTTCTAGATCAGGAATAAATTCACATCATATCACATGAATCACACCATGAATCACACCTTCACTGCAAATTCACAGCATGGACACAGTGTGCTTTAAAATTGGCTTGCAGTGGGTTCTTTGTCTAATCTTTGGCCCTGTAATATACTAGTAAAAGGTAAAAGTCCATTGAAATCTGCACAAGTGAGACATGGGACTTCTCTGCCACCTGGCAGTGGATAAGACATTGATCTTCTAACCCCCCCACAATAAACCCCAATTTTTTGCCAATAGATCGCTGGCATCAAAGTGGTGGACTCGGATTGCATTGGAAATTCGGTTGTTGCTGGTGGTAGAGCGATCAGCGTTCAGCCTCATGTTCTACCTCATCGCCTAGCTTTATTGTTAAACTAGAATCACGATGCATCAAAGCCATTCATCGAGAATCATTGTACGGAGTATTCTAGTCGAATTCAATTTATTTGTCATATGCTGTGAGATTTGCTCATTTGAGCCCATGGAATTGGTAGGATACACAATATCACGACGAAATACATATACTTGACCGATAATTCTAGCCTAGCCAGCATACCGTGTCTATGTATGGCTGAGCATGTAGAAAACCAACTTATAGTATCCATATCATCACAAGCAAGGAAAAGCCATATATAGAATGTGCGTTCTACAAATAGCAACTCGGGATGTCTCATCCGTGGTTGCTCATTAATTCCGAGACATTGACTCGTTAACATATGAAAAAATGAGTAACGCGGTAGCAAGCACAAAATTTACCCCTTAGAAGGCGCAGCTGTAGGCATAGGCGAAGGGGAGCCGGGTTGTCATCGTACTAGCACACGCCGTTTGACGTGTCGCCCAAGCCCGCAATTAAGCATACTCCTGAATCTAGCAATGAGCCTCATAAAGTTAAGGGGAAATCATTTAGCTCCGGTTTCATCTACGGAGTAACCACTCCGTAAGATACCCCGTACACACATATGTACATATGTACCGTTGCGCAACTGCCGAGGGGGGTTACTAGCAGGATATTCTTGGAAAAGCAAGGAAGGAAGAAAAGGAAGAAGAAAAAGACGCCACACGGTGGGTATTACCGCAATCGCGAATCAGGACCACAGGATGATTCCAGTAAGGTCTAGAATTGCAAGCCAGCGGGACGCCGCGCTGCCATCTGGTTACCAAAGAGGCATGTACACCTGGGCATGTATATTGTACTCGTACCTGGCAGATATGTACTTGGTAGGTGGACGCATCATTCTGGGCCAGACTCGGATCCAGTCAGGTCCAGCCAGGTCCAGTCAGGTCGAGTCAGGTCGAGATCCATTCCATCGGCCGGACCCCAACGGTCTGGGACGGTCTGAGACGCGAAGGATCTGACGGGCGATCATCGGGCATCTGGGCTCCATGAATTGCAGATGAGGATCCATTCTGCTGCTATGAAATGCACTCTGGGACGACTTCCCCTGGTGCGACCCAGCTAGGATTACACATACCCCTGGCAGCCGCCACCCGGGATCGCTGTGGGTGGGTGTCTCAAGGATATTAATCATGGCGTGAGAAGGTGGGGAGGAGAGGCCCAGAAGGAGTGGGAAGTAATTTCTGAGATTTATGTACAGAATGTTATGTACGGAGGTGAGTGGAAAAAGAGACAGTTCAAGTTGTTGGGGTTGTTAGCCAAGCAGGTCAGATTTCAGATTTCAGATTGGCTGGGCGTCGCTGCCCTCCGTCCTCCGTGGAGTACGATGAATATGCCCCGGGAAGTTTCGAAATCCCAGTCTGAGAAGAACGAATGATAAGGAAGAGAAATGTGCGATGAGCTCAGAGAAGATGATCAGGGCTGGTCAAGGATGCTTTGGTTTGCGAACCACGATGGTGCAGCAGTCTGACATGTGCCTGGTCAGGATCGATCGATCGCTACCCACCCTCCATTACAGAGGTTGTAAGGTGCATACGGAGTACTCCGTACACGAGTAAGAATTGGTCATATTATGGTAAAACCATTCTGCGACCTGGCTAATTTACGCAATTTACGGTGGTGGGTCGCATCCACTCGGTGCCCGCTGGGATTCGCCGTCAGAAGGCCGATCGCTGCATGATCTTTGGTTGTGTTTTGAGCAGTACTCCGTACTGGATTGGCTGGTCTGATATCAGATAGCAGACAACTCGAGGATGGATAAGCTATCGAGGATGCACACAATACCAGAGAAGGAAGGTTTCCTCGGCTACGGGACTAGCACACTAGTGGACGGCGGACGGCGGACGGAGTGTATATCTCTTTAAAAGAAAGGGTGTGGTGGCGACTCGGAGCTTGGACAAGTTGAAGAGATACTCGTACGGAGTACATAAAACACCAGAATAAACTCGGTCAATGGGGCAATGGGGCCGCGGCACCTACACTGCACTGCCGTCACATTCGGATAGGCTTTCCCCCCAATGGACTACTAGTAGTACGAGTACAGACTCGCTAACGTCGGGGAGGGGATGTATCGGCCTGGTGTTTATGTTTATGCCTTGATTTAGTGCAATCAGAAATTGACTAGGATATGAGTCGACCGAAGCCAATCGATGACGCAGCGGAAGTACTTTTCCACCTGGTACTTTTCCCCCCCCCCTGTGCTGGCTCGGGTGGCTTGAAGGGACAGGGTTGATGGCAGGCTTAACTCCGAGCAGCACAGGAACAACATCGTTGAGAGTGTGTGAATATCATATATGATATGACATAGTCCATAACCGTAGTACGGAGTACCGAGAGGTCAGCTCAGCTCAGCTCAGCTTTCTGAAGGTGTCTTGAATGTGATGTGGCGGGGAGGGAAGTGGCTTTGGCGCAGCTTCTGAGACAACAACCTCCCCACTCAATTACGTAGGCTTCCTCTTCCCCCCTCTCCTTTTACTAACCAGATTGGAAAGGTTGCACGGCAGTTAAACCTAACACTTTCTGTCAGTGTGACTAGGAAATACTGGAAATAAGCCAAGATACATGGCCATGGCCATAACCACAACCACAACCACAACCATACCATCACCAAAGAAAAGAGCTCAGAATAGCAAAGTATGAAGGGTGGAATGCCCTAAGGATTCCTCTCAGCCAAGGATGGGCCAATGTAATGCCGGGCGGTGGAGCCAGTTGGCCAAAATTGGTATTTGGTTTACTCTGACGGGAATCAACAATCACAAGTCGCCGAGATACGAGTAATGTAGTTCAACCGTGGCAGTGGAACAGATCCAGTCGGGACAAGTGGAGAATGAAATGACAGTCAACTAGACTCGACTCTCGACTCTGAAAGAATCGATGGAAGAAGGTGATGTTGTATACTCGTACCGGTCCGTACTCGCACTCCGTACTTCCTGTAGTCCGTACAAGTACTCGTAATGATTTCCCAGTAATACCAGGACGTGCGCAAGTAAAAAAGTATCCACTCAGCTAGCGGCATTGCCGGGATGTGCGCAACGTTGGCACTGGCATTGGCATTGGCATTTGGTGCTGTGTGGACTCTCGGTGGACTCTGGGAGAGTTGCCAGTGCTGGGAGGTCGGGCCCGTGACTCCCGCCCTTTCTCCTCTCCTTCCCATCTTCATCTCCAATAATCACTCCTCCTTCGCCGCTCGGAGAGAGATGATGTTCGCTGGTTTTTAACCCACCATTATCGCTTGGGCACCAGTAGGAAGACAGGCAGACAGGCAGGCCTCGATTTCCTCCCGTTCCCTGACCACCCCGTACGTTGTATGGGTGATCGACACCCTTCCCATCGGTCGGCACACACTGCCCATTTCGAGTTTTCGATCCTATCCCCCTTTTGCGAGTCGACAACCTTCGACTAGACAGGTTGGGTGGAATTGAGAAGTGGAAAATAAAAAATTCGGCAAGGGAAAAACAAAAAACAAAAACAAAAAACAAAGAGAATACCGGAACATCGAATTTCTATCGAATCGACAAAAGGAAACACCTAGGACCCGTGGGCACCTGTTACCAGACAACCACAACCGCCATGAAGCTCTGGCATTTAGCCTCGGCTTTCGCCCTGCTGGCAGAGCCATTCGTGTTAGCTGATCTCGCCTACTGTGCCACCGACAATACTGGATCCGACTACGACGCAGGTAGGCTATATGAATGTCAGAGACGAAAGAGGGCTCTATACTGACTGATGCATAGTCGCCGATACCTACCAATCCAATGGAGCCTGTAAGACGACTTGTGCTAGCTATGCTCTCGGTGTCCTTCAAGGCAAGAAGTGTTGGTGTACAAACATTGTGCCCTCGTCATCTTCGCAAAAGGCCACGAGCAAGTGTGACACTAGCTGTCCTGGATATCCCGATGACAGCTGTGGCAGTGCTGCGGATGGTGTCTTCGCCTACGTGAGCGTCGGAAGCAAAAAACCCACCAGCACTGAAGGTGGTTCTGGTGGAACTACCACCACCTCGGTAAGTGCCCCTTCCCCTTGGTTCTTGCAGAAAAGCCCACTCGCCTGCCCGTCAAGTCGAAATGCCCTTCTTGGTTCTCTGTCTGGTTCATTTCCTGGGTCCTGTGCTCTTTTCACGGAAACAGCTCTCTTATTCTTTGTTGGGACAGGGAACCACTAGCGGTACATCGACAACCACCAAATCCTCTCAAAATACTACCACTGTATCAACCGGATACCCATAACGATGCCTTTACGTTTGATTTACTGACTTGTGATCACAGACCAGCTCAACTTCCTCCACCAGCACTACGGGCAACATCGTCAAGGAGACAACATCAGGTGGCCAAATCAAGACCATCACAGTTGCTGGGTCAAGCTCCACCGCCGGCGCGGATACATCCAATACACAGGCTAGCGACGAAAAATCTGGCCTCAGCGGCGGCTCGATTGCAGGCATTGTCATCGGTGTCTTGGGAGGACTGGCCTTGCTTGGTGGCCTGATATTCTTGATCTTCTTCTATCGGAAGCGCGCTCGCTCGGCTAGCCCTATTCCTAGCAACGCGGACATGGCGGACAACCGAACCAGTCAAGGATCCAGCTTCGTCAGGGGTGTTTTCCCCCAGGGTAGCGATGGCGCAGGAAACGGTCTCGGTCGCCAAAATACCTACACCGACAACCGTATGAAGAATGTCTACCAGGGTCACGCTTCCCGAGATAGCAGCGTATCCCTGCAAGATAACGAGGACTACTCCCGCCCTGTCCTGCGTGTAAGTGATAACTGATTGTCTCTTTGATGAAACGATATCTAACATATTTCTCCAGCTCGCTAACCCCGATTAATACCGGCTCGATTCAACCCCTGGTTAATCCTCCAAACGTTCGCTCCCCTCAAGACATATCGATCTCCATTAATTCTGTTTAAATTTCCCGCAAACAGCTCCGTTATGATACCCAACTGTCACTTTGAATTATTTCCTTCCCATTCTATTACGGTGACAATGGAGAACGTCTGTGCCACTCGAGACGGAAGAACTTCGAAGGGCCGGGTCCCGACAACGCCATCTACCTGCAAAAAGCCCACATATCCGAGCAAGAAGAGTACACGAAGGATCTTCGGAAGAAAGAACCAGAAAAACCATTAAAAAAAGGGTTATCAGGATACCGATGGTTCGCTGTCGAGATGATTTCATGAGCAACATACATTATTTTTTGCATACATACCGGCTGCCGGCGCCAGCTCGTGTGATTTTCTTTTTGCCCCGAGTACATATATATCCTTTCTACCTCCAGTCGCCAACCTGCGTCATACCTCAGCTTCCTTGATCTCGTTTCCTCTAATTGTGAAGTGTCTCAAACCCTTTTGTACCATTCAGCCAAATTCTGCTTTTATCTTAATTCAGGTGTCTAAGCTTCTCTATGAGCTTGCTGCAAGGAATTGAATATCAACCGGTCGTTAGACATGTTGTGCTCATGATCAACACTACTAGTAATTCCACCGTGGAGACATTAAATTGGACCATTGATCGTCAGGTCGGATCTCACCTGGTAGATCTGTAGATCTAGGATGCTTGGCGTTGGGTTTAGCTCGACCAATAATGCCTACTTATACGAGACAATTTTTTCAGGCACGAACTTCAAGGTGGAGATACTAATGTGTTTGGCGAAACTTGAGATCGACATGGCACGTAATGTGAGGCTCGCGATCTCGTCGATAGTGACGCAGTGCTACTCAGTAGTGAACTTGACAGACCTCGGCTCCGGGAAAGGCCAACCGCCGAATCTAGAAATTCCCATTCCACTAGCTGGATGTCGCTGCAACCCTTTTAATTACAGCCAACACTTCCCTTGGTTTAGAAAACTGAGGACAATGTCCCGAGTCCACTCTAACAATATCAAAACCACCCAAACGAGCCATCTGCTCTTGCCAGGCTGGAGGCACCGCTTGGTCCTTTTCGCAGAGAACATACGTTTTCGAGCATCGAAATTCAGACTCAACATATCGAGGGTAGGTTCTAAAAGCCTTCACTGACTGCTTTTTGAACAAAGCGTCCCATTCAGCATCGGCCTCCTTGGGATCGAGCCCGGAGAAGAAAAGTGGCTTCGCACTTTCTTGGAGATGGGCAACGCCATCCTACGCATGTCAGCAATTGGTAATGCTTGCTGTGTTTCACTCTAATGAACAACCTCCGCATCTCTCTTACCTTGATAACCTGATAAGGCGGATTCGGAATCTCGTCTTCGTTTCCCAGAATATTCTTGCCAGGGACAGGGAACACAAACCCCGCTAAATTGATGACGCCAACGATACCACCCTGCAAGCCTTGTTCCGCGCGCTCGGCCAAGGTTAGACCCTCCACAATCACTGAGGTGGGCAAAGACCCATAACTGTGCGAAACGACGAGAGCTTTCCGTCCCTCATCTAGGAAAGGGATCAATATCTTTCGAACCGCGGCACCGTCATCGAAAAATGACGTTTCGGGATCGACTTCCTCCCCGCAAACGATCAGGTCGATGGATATTACCTCGTAACCTTCGACCCGGAGAAGATCGATAATTTTTCGGTAGTGGATTGGTCGGTGAAAGGCGCCTGGGACGATAAAGATGACGGGTTTTTGGGATACCATGATGCTAACTGTATTCGGAACGATCTTTATTCAAATAGAAGCAGTTAGATTCGAAGAGTATTGTGTTTATTTAAATCTCCGGTGCAATGGCGGGGTTGGGTTTCAAGCCGATGAAGGATTGCAAGCTTATTTTGGGGGCCTAAAATCATCGGCTTTCGCGGTGCTTGCCTAAACGAGTAACTCAACACAGTTTGTGGCTTTCGACGCTATCTTAGGGGCGGGGATTTGGGCGGAGGAATGTTTTGAATACTAGAAATGTGATTCAAAAAAGAGCTGGTTCATCGGAAATGTTCTCAGCAGCTAAATACTGGCTATGAACCTTATTGGCAATCTTCCGTGTAAGCACTTGGCGTTCCTTCATAGCCATTTAGCCATTGTCTGCATTCCGAGATGCTGACCGAGATGCCTCGCCGAGATATCATTATTCTCTATACTTGCTGGATCTTAAAGAGGCGAGCGCAAACCGTCTCAGGGACTCCTATACCCAGTATACCCGTCACAAAATCCCAAGTGGCCTGGGTTTCCAAGCGAGCTGGATAGAGTAGCTCTAGCTTGCTTTCTGGCCAGCCCTGCACTGCATTGATAAAAACATCCTTCGTCGTAGGCCCTGCTCGACGCCAAATAGCAACATAGACGGTTTTCTTGTCCTTTGCAACAAGGCCCAAAGATACCTAGTCGCTGCTCCATTTTGGGAACCCAAGAGGCCAAGTAGCATGTGCTGTTTTAACATCATCGCGTATCATCTTGTAGACAACCATACCCTCTTTGATTAGACTCAGCTGCTTTGAGCTCATCTTGCCCACGCGACCGCTGAGATAAACACGGCCAAGGAGACTGTTGACCACAGTCAGTGAGTTCGTCTCATCGCTCCATTCTGGCTGAGGGTAAGCCCAAGTTCCGCTCTGCTCTGGGGCAACTGCAGTTGGCATTGCTGCTGCGATAGCAGCATATAGTGCCGGATCTTGCTGATCACTGGTCGATTGAATGGAATGCACGGCTAGCATGGCGTAGTCGAGACGTTGTGCCCCACTGGAACAGGTTTCGATGACGAGATTGGGGTACTTGTCAAGCTGGGAGCGTACCCAAGCAAGGTAAGCTCGCTGATGCTCGAGTTGTGCAGCCCCGGCGGCAGAGGGACCATCTACATCGGTTCCCTGCATCACCTGGATGTTATAGTCAAACTTGAAGAATCCAACACCATATTTCACGACAAGATTATGTATGATTGTATCCATCCAGGTTCGCACTTCAGGATGGCGGTAGTCAAGTTGGAAACGGCCCTTTTCAATTATACGATGGCCATCTTCTTGGTAAAATGCCTCTTTGGGGAGACGATTGCCAACAACACTGCGTACACCCACTACCTCAGGCTCGAGCCAAAGTCCGGGAATGAGGCCTTTTTCTCGGATTGTATCCAAGAGTTTCCTAAAGCCTGACGGGAATCGTTTTTTCGAGGGCTCCCACAAGCCAACGTCATCCCACCAGTCGCTATCGTCAGCGTACCAACCAGCATCAATTACAAAGTACTCCGCACCCAGATAGGCAACAGGGTTAAGAAGCGCTTCGATCTTCTGCTCGTCTGGGTCTCCCATGAGACAGTTCATATAGTCATTGAAAATTATGGGAACCTTCTCCATATCATCATGTGACCGCTGGATATGCCGCCTGTAGTCTGTGAGAGCAGCGAAAGCAGCCTCAACATCACCAATAACCCGACAGCAGGCAGTAGGTACCGAAGTAAAGCTTTTCCCAGGACACAACAGCTTTTTCCAGGCGTGGTGCGCACCCGTTGGGCCACCAGCAGCGAGGTATATATTGTCTTTGTAGTCACCAATCTCCCACCGCCAGGATCCATTTGATTCTATCTGCCAAAGCCAGGTATCGGTTTGATCTTTAGCATTGAGAATACCCAACGGAAGGTGAGATCCGGTAGAATAAGAGCCGCGGGCACTCAGACTAAAGGTAGCCTGGGAGCCGGTGTGACCCTCCTGAAGCTCACAGATGCCATTGTTATCAATGCCGAGTTCTGAAGGACTATACTCTTGCCATTGCGCTTCTCGAAACCAACTGTTGGTAGCGTACATGAGTTTGTATTCGTCAAACCCCTGTGCCGAAGCATTTGTCATGCCCCCAATAACGAAGGATGAAAGACCAGTGAGCATGACATTAGCGCTTTCTGACATATTGGTGACGGTCGTTTCGGATCTGATAACTGGTATACAGCCATATATGTAAAGTCGGGCGGTCACTTGGATTTCGGTGGCTTCGTCGCTGAATCTGGCTTCAAATATCTCGGTCTGTCCATCTTTGCGGATGTCATGACAGTTGTACTTGAGCCTTATAGAGAGATAATTCCCAACTGAAGCTTTTGCAGTTTTGATATCTTTTGTTTGGCCCTCGCCAGCTAGCTTGACGCTAATCAGAGGTAGCTCTGCGGATTCAAAAAAGGCCGAGGCTGATTTTTTTGGTACGGTGCCAGGGGAAAGGACGCGGCTCAGACAAATGACGCCCTCTTCATTGACGACAAAATCGATGTTGAGGGCATCTGTGTGCCACTTAATAGTGTAAGGCGGGTCCATTATATCTGAATAGAATTCGAAACCGTATAATCCGATCGTATAGTAAGATCAAGTTGCAGGCGAGGGCACGAAGCGGGGTGTCTCGATGCAGTAGAGAAAATTATACCCCTCGTCTCCTCTTCCTCGAAAATAATTTTAACCGGTCATGGGATCTCAGAATTGCAGGGATTTTATGGAATCGAAGGCAAGGCTGAGATTATCCGGGGATTGGCGTCTGGGGTAGCGGGGTACAGCAGTGATCCTCCGAGCTTTCCCAGTTCATCTTCGAAGAACTAAACTAGAGCTAAGAGATCGTAACACAGATTATCTCGGCCGAACCAATAGTTTTGAATTATGAAGGGGCTCGAGAATTCTTGGGGAGACAAAGAGCTCTGACTCGGATTGGAGGAGATGTGACCAGCATTCCATTCCAGTTATGCCAAGGGAGGCCGGTTCTTGATTTTGACAAAGAAATCCCAACTGGCTGTGACAAGCTTCAAATTTACCCGAACCCTCGAAAGACAGGTGATGGATCCTGAGCTGTACGATTAAGGTATTAACACCTCGATACCACGCCCTGTCAGTCTCTATCCCCGCTGCGACACTTCCAAGCGATAAATCCAGCAAAAGAAACAAAAATACTCAATGGAGGGAATACGTTCTGGCATGACGAAGGGTGAGAAGACTCTAGAATCGGATAACAAACCTACTATCAAGATTACCGACGATTTGCTTGGAACCCGTGGACAGTGGGAGGCTACGCTTGAAGATGCTCGTTCCGCCAATTCCCACGAACATTCTCTGAACGTCCGATCGGCTCTGAAAGCCTATCCGTGGGCTGTTTGCTGGTCATTGATCATTTCACTCTCCATAATTATGGAGGGGTACGACACTGCTCTCATCAATTCTCTATATGCATACCCATCTTATGCTCGTCGGTTTGGTGCAGTCGACCCAGCCACTGACACATACCAAATTCCCGCTAGATGGCAAAGTGCTATGAGCAGTGGATCTCAGGCTGGTGCAATTGTAGGCGCCCTTGCAAATGGCTTTATTATTCAACGCTTCGGCTTCAAGCCCGCATTTGCCCTTGGTGTTCTTCTTATGGCTTCATTTGTCTTCATTTCATTTTTCGGAATGTCGGTTGGGCTTCAAACGGCTGGTCAGATCCTCTGCGGGTTCGTACTTTAGAACAGGAGGAAGCTAAATTCTATGCACAGTAAATGCTAATCCAAATCTAATTTAGTGTTCCCTGGGGCATCTTTGCAACAATTGGCCCTGCGTATGCCTCGGAGCTCTGCCCTCTGCGCCTTAGGTCGTATCTCACAGCCTATACTAATCTGTGCTTTGCAACTGGGCAGTTTATAGCTGCTGGCGTGCTTCAGAGCTTTATCAAACAACAAGATGATTGGGCATGGCGCATAAGCTTTGCACTTCAATGGATGTGGATTCCTATCCTTGGAATTGCAGCCTTCTTGATGCCTGAATCCCCGTGGCATCTTGTACGCAAGGGTAAATATGAAATGGCTGAGAAGAGTGTAGTTCGGCTCATGGCAGAGCATGAGAAAGTCCATTCCAAATCTCTGGTTGCTCTCATGATCCACACGAATGATCTCGAGCGTGGTGCTTCACAGGGAACATCGTACTGGGATTGCTTCAAAGGTGTTGACCTGCGTCGTACAGAGATTGCGGTTATCACATTCCTGGGCCAAATCACCTGCGGAGCTCAGTTTGCCTACTCAGCTACCTATTTCTTCCAACAAGCCGGCCTCAGCTCTGAAGAAAGCTATAAGCTAAATCTCGGTGGCACTTCAATTGCATTCTTAGGAACAATCACTTCATGGTTCCTTATGCGCCGTATTGGTCGTCGTATCCTTTACCTATCGGGTATGTCATGCATGGCGCTATGGCTTTTTATCATTGGAGTTCTCGCAGTTAATACTTCCAATCCAAATGTCAAGTGGGTCCAGTCAGCACTTTGCCTTATTTGGCTCTTGACATTTTCTCTCACTGTTGGGCCAATCGGCTGGATTATACCAGCTGAGGTTTCATCTACTCGTTTACGCTCCAAGACAATTGTTCTGGCTCGCAATGGCTACTACGTGGCACAGATTCTCGCCAATGTGATCCAGCCTTACATGATGAATCCTCTGGCCTGGAACTGGAAAGGTTTGAAGCCATTCGATTTCTTTTCAGGCCCAAAACTTGTTTCAATTTTTCTTGTTATCAATTAGCTAATATACTGAATAGGAAAAACTGGATTTTTCTGGTTTGCCTTTGCCTCGATGACTGTCGTTTGGGCTTTCTTCCGTATGCCTGAAACTAGAGATCGTTCCTACGAGGAGCTTGATCTTATGTTTATGGCCAAAATCTCCACTCGGCGATTCAAGAAGTATCATATGGATGCTTATGAAAATGGAGAAAGCCGTATCCAAGAGACATAATTAGACCATTTTGTACTAATCGTGCTTGGATGAGTCTATATAGTAACTGGTATGGAGCGACGGTGTCCATTGTGATTAGCGATTGGGGGTTCGAAATCTGGGAAGGTTGCTAAACCATTAGTTAGTTACTCTAGTTAATTAGTAACGAAGAGCCTTTTTAATCAAAGAGTGTGATTTTCTTCTGACTGGGGAAAAAAACGACCCGAGTTGGGGGCCAGGTAAGAAGGTGGTTAGTCTGCCCTTTCTGTCACGCATCACCCGCTTGATTGGTCTTAGCTAGGACCCAATCGGTTAGGTGGCTGCGAATAAGATGTTCGATTGGCCGTAACAAGAGACTAAGGCCCCCTGTATGTGAGATGTTACAATGTCGATCAGGTTGCATCCCCTCAAACCGGAAGCACCGGCATTTGAAGGAGGTCGGCTAGCTGGCATGAAACTAGCTTTCAATATTTTGGCCCCAAACAGAAATCATTGCCAGTCAACAACCCCGGATTTGCCTCCCCAACATTTGCATGCGCCTCACCGGTCATCTGGAACAGGTCAAGTGCTACGGAGTACTGAAAGAACGATCTCCGGACTTCGACCCCGTGGGTGGAAAGGGACTAGCCGCGCGTCCTCCGCACTTCGGGGGCCGAATAGATGGGTGATACCGACTGCCAATGCCGATATTCACCCGGGGTACCACAGTTACACAAGATAAAAACGGTAAGCGCATAAAACAATAAGCCGTATTCTCCTCATTCATGGAGTCTCTTGGGGCTAGTCCGCCTCTTGATGGGTGGATGTACGTTCCAGAACACTACTATATCCGGCACTATTCTCCATCTAGCATGGACTCCCGAGTCCGACAGAAAATGGCAGATGAATTGAACGACTCTTGAGTCTTCACCCCCTCGCCAAGCTAGAGAGCAAAGAAAACAAGGTCCGTCTCCGAAATACGATCCTAGGTTTCCAAGCTTTGGGATCCACCTCGAGCGTCTAGAAATTTTCCTTCGTTTTCATACTGGCACCACGGCTCGGCAATGATCCTCACTTCATTCCTCTTGTCTTTAGATCTTGGCCAAGTCCAGTTCGCATCAACCAAAAGTCAACCCGAAGGATTACTAGTGCGTTGATTCAAATCTCCGCACCATGTCCATACGCCCGCGTGCCCGTCAGCACTACAGCGTCCCCAAGCATAAGGGCCTAAGCGATTGCGGAATGATCCTGGTAGTTCTCGGGCACATGGCTAATCAAATCAAATACTTTGGTTGTGGCGTGCGGAAACGAGGCTTACTGGTTACATGGCTCGGCGCAAGGGCGCCCAGCAAGCGCTAAGGGTTACCCAGCAGTGCTTCTCTACGGCCACCAAAAGCTTGGTGGCGTCTTCTAGTCCCCGAGATCATGTAGATTTGTGCTCTATGCTGGGGATATAGGCCTTCCGACTTGTGTATTCCCCCGAGCCTAACCCACATCGTCGCTAGCATGCTATCGTTTGGAACTAGTAGACAGAATTTCATGATTCAGAACCCTCGTCGCACATTGACTGGCTTGTACTATTGGCTCAGTGATGGGGAAGCTAGTCCGTGGGTAACTTTAGCCTGGAGCACTTGATCAAAGGGGAGATGGGTATATAATATAGCTGAACTCCCACCCAAGGGATTCTCTTTTTGCTCGTTTTGACGACATATTATTCCATACCAATTTAATTTATCTTGTCTCTCTGTCTCTCTCCAAAGATGGCGGTCAGTCAATCGGTGGTTGGCCGTAACAATGCGGAGAAGCCTCATGGCCTTGTCGGTATGCTGAAGAACCCCTATGTCTTCGCTACCTGTCTTTTCGCCTCTCTGGGCTGCACTATGTACGGATACGATCAAGGTGTGATGGGACCCATTCTTGTGATGGAGAACTTCAAAAACCACTTCCCCTACTTTGAGAACTCTACAATTCAGGGTTGGTTAGTGGCGGCCTTGGAGCTGGGTGCATGGGCTGGTGCTCTGATTAATGGTGTTCTCGCCGATCGAATCTCCCGAAAGTACGCTATGATGGTGGCTGTCGTTATCTTCACATTGGGAACTGGTCTACAGGCTGGTGCCCAGACTCCAGCTTACTTTTTTGCTGGTCGTATCATCGGTGGTGTTGGTATCGGTATGTTCAGCATGGTTATTCCTCTATACCAGGCCGAGATTGCCCCACCCGAGTTGCGTGGATCTCTGGTCTCTCTGCAGCAACTTTCAATCACTATCGGAACTACCATTGCCTTCTGGCTGGACTATGGGATGCAGTATATCGGCGGTGTTGCCTGCAACCCCGAAGGAATCGCCAACCCCTACCTCGCCGACGGCACCTACAATACGGCCCAAAATCATGGTCACACTTGCCTAGGCCAAAAGACCATCTCTTGGCGACTACCACTGGCATTGCAAATTATCCCTGCCTGGATTCTGTTTTTTGGAATGTTCTTTTTCCCATTCTCCCCTCGCTGGCTCATGATGAAGCACCGAGATGAAGAAGCTCTTTCTTCGCTTTCAAAGCTCCGCCGGTTACCCGCCGCCGATCCAGTTGTTAGAGCTGAATTCCTCGAAATCAAGGCCGCTGTTATGTTTGACGAGGAGACCGAACGTGAAGCCATTGGCTCCGGTGGGGTCCTTGCTCCCTGGAAGGCATTGTTTGCCCCCAATATGATCAAGCGTCTCATGGTCGGTTGCTGTACCATGGTTTTCCAACAATTTACTGGTATCAATGCAGTCTTGTATTACGCACCCCAGATTTTCGGCAGTTTTGGCTTTTCTTCTACCAAGACAACCCTTCTGGCTACTGGTGTGACTGGTATTTTGCAGATCATCTTCACCTTGCCCTCTGTGCTGTGGTTGGATAAGTTTGGCCGCAAGACATTTTTGATTGTTGGTGCCGCCGGCATGTTCTTGTGTCACATTGTCGTTGCCATTGTCGAGGGTCTGTTTGAAGATAAATGGAACCTAAACGAAGGGCTTGCAAAGCCACAGGGATGGGTAGCAATCGCCTTTATCTGGCTCTTCGCCGTGAATTTCGCTTACTCTTGGGGTACGTTGAATAATGATTCTAACCTTTGGAAATCGTCACTAATCAGTTTTCATCATTTCTTTAGGTCCCGTGGCTTGGGTTTTGGCGCAGGAAATTTTCCCTAATAGCCAGCGTTCCCGTGGTGTGGCCATCGTTGCATCCACCAACTGGATGTTCAACTTTGTCATCGGATTGACGACTAAGGACATGCTGGATACTATGAAATATGGTACTTACATTTTCTTTGCTGTCTTCAGCGGGTTGGGTGGCCTGTTTATCTGGAAATTTGCACCGGAGACCAAGGATAAGACTCTTGAAGAGCTGGACATCTTCTTTGGTAAAGGTATGGATAGTATTGCTGAGGCCGATCGTGTTCGCATGCAGAGGATCAACGAGACACTAGGCTTGGCTGGTGTAGAGAACCTTGAAGATCTGAAGACCGAGAAGGAGATCACTGCGGAACAGGTCGAACTTTAAACTATTCAATTATGAACCAGACTGGCATATAGTTGGATGATGGTATCAGTAGTAGCTCTTGTTAATTCTCAACAATCCTATTAATTTTCGAGCTTGAATCGGACAATCAGACAAATTATTTGACTTTGGAATGGGTTTCTGGATTAAGTCTCTGTAAAACACGGTGGAGTTTGCTCATAGAAAGGAGAGTGCATCGCCAAATCTGTTTGTTTCTGGAATTCGAACCGCTTTCCCATACATTCAACAGTGAAATACAATTTTATTTTATGTGTTCGACGAAGGTTGAAAGTGTAAAGATCGTAGGAAATATCGTCGGTTCCCAAGCCCAGAGCATCACTGATATCCACGCGGGTTCTTTCTGCTAGAACCAAGTCCAGAGATTTGTTCGTACTGAAATGGACTGTGTTTGTATGTGAAGCTGCGCGACGAGGAGTTCGAGCCGCCGTGATTCTTTCCAAGTGGACAGCAAAAACCCGTAGTCGAACCACTGGCATGTCTGCGAGCTTTGCTTTCTGGTTCGAATGGTATAGACGCAATTCCACAGAAGGAACTTCGCCTTGGACAACAGTTGTTCCAATGGTTGTTTTAATATTGAATTCAACTTTTGCACCAACGCCCTCGGATCTCAATGCCAAGTGAAATCTATCACTGACCGTCAAGGGGCAGCTGTCAGCTTCTCCGTGTGGCGAAGATGTATTCTGAAAAGAGAAGCTGTCTGTAGTCGTAACAGAAGTGACATGAGGTGAAGGCTCAGACCGGTATGTGTCGAAAGGGAGAACAAATGATCTCCTCTCCTGTCGCGTCTTTGAAACCCATTTGACATCCAGGCGATATTCTATCGTAGCAGACAGGATTGAACCACCAGCAAATGAGAGGGACGGTGGAAGTGATTCCAAGGCAGCATGATGATGCCAGTTCTTAGGGCTTCCATATTTTGCCGATTCTGGCCAAATTGACTGTCCCAGGGCATTGTGCGCCTTGGAAGGAAAAGTAAATAGAAATGGATATCCTCCAGCTGGCATATCGGTGTAGCATGAAAACCCTTCATAGAGTGTCGTCTTCGCTATCATGAGGAACTGGGTGTTTCTACTGTAGTCCCCTGGCCCGACACTCCATGCTTTCAGCTCAATTATCGATCGCCCTGAGAAAGCAATGTTGAGAATTCCCTGCTCTCCATCGGTGCCCTGGTCCACTTCAACCTCTCCTCGAACGAGGGCGCCCGGAAGGTAGCCTCTGTTGGGACAATCGAGATGTATTTCCATTCTGAACTCCAACACCTCGTAGTGAGTGGAACGGGCGAGCGCCCGCCCCGCAATGATGACAACCAAAACCAAAAAAGCTGGGCAGTCTGGGCAGTCTGGGCAGTCTTTGAATGTTTGCAGTCCCACGTTACGCTTAGTCAAACACTTGGGGGCGAAGAAGGAGGTTTTGAGAAAAGGGCTTGGTTTTCTTTGCGACTCGGAGATGTTTGAACTCAATGGATATGATGGGATTGATTCTGACAACTAGCCGCAGTTCTTCGGCTTAGCATATCTATAAATTATTTCAATAGAAATTCGCCGTCCTGGAAATAAAAACTTTGCATCTACTAGTATTATCAAGGCGATATCTGTGAGGATGCTCAGATACTCACAGAGATCAGGATACGACGTCGCGGACCAGGCAAGAAAAGTAGTAGCTTGATGAGAATATGAAGGAAGCTAAGATGGAAGGCTAGAGACACAGCTGTAGGCGTGGATGCCTAGATGGGTGCCGCAGGCGTAAGGCACCCACGAATGGTAACAACACCAGTTCGTTACAATATCAATTGTTTTTCAAAAGCCTATAATAGCAAAAAGCTCACCGTAATATGTGAAACTAACCTTCAGATCTTGTTTTCAACCTCAGAATGCTGCGCCCAACACATCATCCATTGCAATGATCTTGGTACGAAGGACTCAGACATAACACACTAAGACCAACCCTATCAAGGAACAGGTTTCTTAAGGACGCTCTTATATAAAAGAGTAGCTCAGATATTTGGAAAGTTTGCGTGGGTGTTTTTAGATCAGATAATGAGATCTAGCTTTGAACCGACGAATATAATCAAGTGCCAACTTCTAAGCTCAACTAACAGAATAAAGCCTTTTTTTATCAATTGCCTCTTTTTGGTATATTTTCCTAGAGCTTGCTATGCTTGACGAAGGATTTTTTATATTCCATTGGCAATAGCAGAAATGATTATCCGGGTTCAAGTTTGCCTTCGGTCAGCGGCTGGAACTTTTTGCCATTTCGGGTATGGCAAAGCTAGTCTTCCTATTTTGTATATGTAGTCCAGCGTCTCTTATCTTTACTCTTATCGGTGGAATTCCAATATCAACCTCATTCGACTGCCTTAATCATGATATGGAGTAATTGTTGCACACCATGAAAGCAGGGGGGTCCTCAAGTGGGACTGCGCAGGAGTGTGGGCCTAGCTCATATCTCGCCCTTTTGACAAGAGTATAAGCTAAGAACCATGGCCTGCAAAGAATTCCTCGATAAGAGTAAATCGCCAAATCAAAGTAAATGATCCTATTTCAAACATTATTTTCTGCCCAGGCCAATCTAAGGCTCAGGCCTGCATTTTCTCTCCAAACGCGGAAATGGTCGTCAAGCCACTACGGTCTACCAGAAGCGGTATTCCTTGCGTATACCGTCATCATCTTTGGATTCTAGCTTCCCCGCTTTGATGATCCGAGCCTGCTGGAGTGTAACACAAACTAACCTGGGCATGGGAGAGGCTATCATTGTTAAAGTCGCCTGGGCGCACAGTGTTTATTTATTGACCTTTCTCCCAACATTCGAGATATAATATTTGAATCAAATCCTCATACTACGGCCTTCAAGACCATTCATTCCAAGGTTATAATTTGGCTATTTTTCTGCCCATGCCAAACATCAAGATATACAGCTTTCCCTATCAGCCCTAAAGCGCAATAAGTAACTCGCCATGGATTTTCTCAAAAGCCTAGATAGCACCTCGCGGATTGGGCTTGTGTTGATCGCTGCCAGCGCAGTCTACTTGATTCTCAGCCGGTTATCCAACAAATCCCTATTGAGCAAAATATCCCTACGCGGCCGCAAAGATTCCACAGCCAGAACCCCTCCACGATCCATATCTCCAGACCGAAAGCAAGCCAATAGCACCACATCACCAACAAGCTATAACCATGCCCTTCCACCGTCGCGTAGAGAAGCGCTCCTCCAACAGAAAGGGGCTGTTATACGTTGGAAAGAAGTTGATGAATCCGAAATGCGCCAGAACCTCTTACCCATGACAGCCGACTTTAGGACAAGCCCAGGAAACTTATACACACCGACTGGCTTTTCTGTCGATGACGTGAAAGCTTTAGGAGATTTTCCAGACTATACAGCACTCAGTGGAGTTCCACTCCCCAAGCCCTATCCTGAACATCAACTCGAAAAGGCATTACCCCGCCCATATCGCCCTTTCCGATGGTCTTATCATCAAACAATGTGTATGTTTTCGGTATCCTTGTCAACTATGAACAATGAACGGAACTAACTGTATCACTTTCATTGATAGCGTTGACAAAGCTAGAAACGGATTGGTGGATCGAGCTTGAGAGCACGTACAAGAGCCGCATTACTCAACGTAAAGAGCTTTTTGCCAAAAATGGAAAGGCCGTTCTAGATGCCCTCCCTGGCTCCGAACTTGCATGCAAAGAGCTCATGGAAATGGTTCTGCAATACATATGTACCAGATACCCGCAGTATTTCACACTAGTGGACAAGCGGATATTGAAGAATCGCATCCTCGACACTGAGCAAGATATTCGGGCCAAGCCACCACTTGAAATTCTTCTTGACAATGTCCCGGAGGATTTTGCACTCATGCTGAGGGATGACGAGACAGGATTTTATTTTCTGCGTGCGGCTATAATCTGTTCGGCACTTGGTTGGAATGTTGCCTCCAAAATCGGACGTCAGTTGCACCAAATTCATGCGCCGATCCCAGATTATAAGGAAAAGATGCAATTTTCAATGGACCGGTAAGTTTCCTTCTTCCGAATCTGAGGCTGAACGAGGGATATTCTGACTGGAATTTCTTAGTTTCTTCACAAAAATGCCGACAGAAAAGCCGATTCAACGAGGCTCATGGGGTCTCGAAGTCGGGGAGCCACTGTACATGCCCCCAGGCGATCCGCACGAGGAGCTTCGGAAAGCTCAAGACCCATATTTGACAATCGATGACTGCAACCTGCGGGTAGACTGGCAGACCCTCCGTCGTCTTCCACTCTCTGCGTCTGTGGTTTTCAACTTCAAGGCAGTGTTCAGTCCTATCACAGAATTCCGCGATGAGCCTGGCGTCCCTGCACTGGTAGCAAAGGTCGTGACAGAGGGAAAGAAGAACCTCATGGAGTATAAGGGTGTATGGCATGTCCAGCATGTTATTTTACCGAAGTTGAAAGAGTGGGCAAAGGAGCAGGAGGAGAAAGGTCTTACGCCCAAAGATTGGGAGGTGGCCACGCTGGATGATAGCCCGTGGTACGAAGGCTGGAAAGAGAAGTGGCATCGACAGCAAGGATTTTGATATGATAGAGATGTATTTTCAATTCGATAACAAGTCTGAATACTCGGATATGACGATTTTGATGCTTATAGCAAGTCGTTAACCGACGGTCATACCCATGTAGCCCTTTGATGGGGGTTTGGACGTGACGGGGGAGTATAATGGATGTGAAGCCGGCGATGCAATAATCAATACTCGCCTGAGCTCCATCGTGGGCCAGCCGCTTGGAGTTGGGGCACTTCACTTCTCCGTCAGGGTCCCTTGCCGCTATTGGTATACCCCTATTTAGCCCTAGACAGAGGAATGGATGCATTCGTGATTCCGAGTTTGTCAGAATACCAGCCAGGCTTGCACTGGATGCAGGTGTCGAGTAAGTGTCTCTGTGAGGCCCATGGAGTATCCACCTAGGGTTTATGTGAAAAGACAAGAATAGGAGCTCGATGTTCAGTCGTCTTCCTCGTTTCCCTTTCCAGAAGATTCTCTGTCACTGTTTTCATGCCCCTCGTCACTTTTCCCATCGTCACTATCCCGATCAAGCTCCTCCAATTCTCCCTCGAGCGGGCTGACTCGCTCATCCAACATATCCAGGTCCTCTAGCTGCTGTCGTGGAGGTAGCTTCCATAAGCTGGTACCACAGACACGGTCCTTAGTGAGAAGATCGTCGACGAATTGATCCATATATGTCAAGGCAAACGTGTCTCGTATCCTGCGCTTGATTTTCCGGTAGTCGAGTAGGAGCGGTTCTAAGGTCTTGTAAACCTCTGCAGCGTCGAATGTGATGCGAACGTAAAAGGCTGCCAGAGCGCGGAGGTACTTGAAGTCACCACGATCCTTAACCACGCCATTGTCTTCGCCTTCCTCGTCACTGCCGGGGTCGGAGAAATTTAGGTATTCGAGGATGACATTGCGATCGGGGTTGAGCTGTAGAAGCTTGAAGGCGAGGCAAAGGAAAGGCGTAGGTCTTTCGGAGACACCGTATGTACCACCAATAGATGACAGCTCAACTGCACGATCGCACAGCGTAGCCGCGTTCAATCCGAAGCACTGTTCTTTCCAATAATAAGAATCCGTGATGCGGTCGCGCACAGCTTTCTCGAAAAGGGTGATCGGGTTGACACCTCTCACCAACGGACCACTGTATCCGCGATTGTCGAGAAACGAGCTGGCGTCAGCACGATGAGTAGTCATGACTGCAATGGCCGGAAGGTTGGAGTGGGGAGAGGCAGTTCAACGGAGCTGGAAATTCGATCAAGTATACTGCCAATTCCTACCGCTCATCGCCAAGGCTTTTCTTATCGATAGTCGCGCGGCCAACCCGACCCTGAACCCCGTAAACAATACTGATGTCATGCGCGACTCTGGGGCTGACTCTGAGACATCGATGAGTAGGAGGCAAGCCATGCATGGTTGACATTCCAATCCTGTCAATCCCTCTTTCATCGTCCATGTCGGACCTCTTTGCACAATGGTTCTCCTCAGTTCGTCCACGGTATCCACCATCCTGTCGATGGGAGTAGTGTGTATCTTCACATTACTACTATTTCTATCGGGATATGTGCTGCAGCAACAATCAGTAAAAAGCATTCAGCATGCCATCCGCCCTCCACCTGATCCAGCTTCTGAGTCAAGACACGGATATCCGGGATCAACATTCCAGAAGCGAGATTCATCGGATTCAGATCTAGGTTTAGGCGACGATCAAGACATCCCACGAGCTAGTCGAGATCGCCATCCAGGATCGCGGGGCAATTTCGCCTATCTTCAGCTATTATCCGAGCCTGATCCGTCAGACATTTGTTCCGCAGTGCTTTTCTTTAAACAGCTCGCGACAAATGGTACCAGCGTTCAAGATCGTCTGTTTATGTATCCGCAAGAATGGGACCGCATGTCAGCGAAACAGTTGGGCAAGTCTGCATCGGCGGCCCTTTCGATTCTCCGTGCAGCCAGTATCAAATATGGGATTTGGCTACTACCAATCGATATGACTGCTGCTACTTCTGCGGGATACTCCGCAACCAACACGAAGGTCTTACGCCTGGGTCAAATACAATTCATGCAATATGACAGCGTCCTTTACGTTCAGACGCCTGGCATGATTCTCGATACAGAAAGGCTTGATGAGGTGTTATTCTCACGGACACTGCCTGGCCGACATGATAAGAATAGGCCGGAGTCCTTCAACAACGAAGCATGGATTCCCATGCCTCTTCGAGCGAATCGCGATACCAACCTCCCACCAGTCTACCTGATAACAGTCAATAACTTGGGCGGTGGGAGTGTTGAAACGCGGACACATATTCCTAACATACATCTTCCTGGATTTGGGGGGCCTCGTGGCTGGACCTTGGGGCGTGAAACCGGAATCAGCTAATGGCGAGCCGGTTCAGCAGCCCGCCTATGTATATTTTGAGAATGACCGCGACGGTCATGTTAAGTGGGCAGGAAATCCCCTTTTTGGCTCATGGCGATCACAACAAAGCGAGGTCTGCCCTGGGCTAGATTTTGATGACGACTATTATCATGATGAGATGAGATGAGATGAGATTATCTTCGGATTTCTTCACGTTTTCAATTCGGTCTGATGTCGACGATTGTACATTCGGAGCTTGAAGGATTTGGGTCACATGGCGTTTATTTGGTCGAAAATCGAGATACCACCTGGGCATCTATGAGCAATACGATATTGAAATGCATGAATTTAGTATATTATTCATTCATTCAATTCTAGCGTAGTTTGATGGTATTCTTTTCTTAATATTTAGCAAAAAGACTATCAACTATAAGAGAAAATAGTCCATGATAGATCATCCCAAATCATACACTTCGTAGATAACTCAAATATGTCGTCGAAATCCTGCGCAAATATCACCTCATCCACCTGGGCAGCTACTGGGGTACTCCAATCTCGTATCCCAGGAGTACCTCTGTGGTATTGCCCTCCCAGCCACGGTTTCCACTGGTAGAGATCATAAAACGACATGCATTATCAACAAACAGCTGGGAGATGGTGCCAGTTCGATGGCCGGGAATGATGAGGAATGGCACGGTGGAATGCCGGGAAGATTGCTCATGCTGCAGATCATAGAGCCGGAGGATATCATGAGAAGCACTAGGAGGTGTTAGTAGATGACAGGGAGTGAGTACAAGGCAAAACTGACCAGACAAGATGGCGGCCATTTGGCATAGCCTTGAGAGCAGTCACTGGACCACTGCCTTGCGGAAACTTAAACGTGCGTTCAGCCTCTCGAAGGCCCTTGTGCAAACTAAATTCCTCAACAGTGCCATTGCGCCGCCCGGCATATATGTAGTTTCCATCAGGAGACCAGCATGCATTCATGCACCAAGGGGGGACGTTACGGGGGCTGATTCGAGCAACAGGATCGGGTTGTCGTCGATCCCATATCCGGATGGTGCCATCAATTGATGCCGCAAGAAAAGTTGTGTCTGCTCCTATTGTCTGCTCAGATTGCATGGGTTGAGGGAAAATCTGGTCCATGGAAATTTTCATTTCTTCGGCTTTGGGCAGCCCATTCACAGCTGGCATTGCCGGCTCTGCGGTGATCTCTGTTTTGGGTACCTCGGGTTTGCTTTCAGAATCATTCGCGGTCGTGTCTGCTGCATTCGCGGGAACAGATTCCGCCTGGGGTACGGGCTCGGGTTCAGGCTCGGGCATTTCAGCATCGATTTCACCGGGGGCATCGGCATCAGCAAGGACGCCGTTAGCCATCGCACGACCAAATTCATCATCTTCGTCTACCCCGAATACACCCCCAGATGGTTCTCCTCCGTCTGCTGCTCCGCCATCTGCATCTCCAAATAGAGAATCCGCACCACCGAATAGCGAGTCAGTTGGTGAGCCCGCCTGCGGGTTCTCGGCCCCCTGGGATCCAGTATCTTGGGCGGTGTCCATGGCATTGAATTTGTCTAGGCCACTAGCCTGGTAATTCGATGAGTATGTACCGTTAGGTAGCGACGGGTCGATAGTATCTGCTGGAATTGGCAAGCTGGAATCTGGCCGAATTTGTACCGTAGAGATCTGGCCTGCACTTCCGCCGAATGCACGTCGTGCCTGGCCGGTATTGAGATCCCAATCAAAAACACGTTTGTCCCAGCTACCAGAAAGCAAAGATTGTTCATCGGACGTCAAATTTAACGAGGAGACTGCCGATGTATGCTGTCGCAATTGGATGACTTCTTTTCCCTCGTCGTGCCGCAATGTCTGCAACCGAATCGCACCGGATTCTAGGCCGGAAAGTAGCCAGAGGCCCTCGCTCTGTGCGGCTAGAGAATAGACCGGCGATAAACTATTACCATCCATGTTCTCCCAGTATGTCATAAGGACACCCGCCTTAACAACACTATCGACAAATGGATGCCGTTGCGCCACTGTCAACATGAGCTTGCTGTTGATAGATTCGGCCCAGTTGAATTTGCGAACAAAGCCATCCGATCCACCTGTAAACACCCAACGCATATCTGCCGTCGCCGTGATCGCATTTATTGATGTGCTGTGAGGAGCAGCGGTGGTGGGAGCGATATCATAGGTCCTGGCCGTCAAGCATTCGGGGCGGACGCTAGGATGGTGAATAGAAAAGGATTCCAGCATCGAAGTGTCTCCGTTCCCTGGCGATGTCATATTCGTTGTATCAGGGTTCTGTTGCGAGGATACTCCGGCGCCTTCTGAGGTTTGACTTGCGTTCGAGGGGCTGTCCGGATCCTGGTCCTGGTCCTGGTCCTGGTCTTGATCGGCGTCCGCATCGGCATCCTGTTCATTGTCGTTGTCGTTGTCGTTGTCATTGTCGTCGTTGTTGTCCCCGTCATTATCGTCAACGTCGCGCATTGTGTCGTCAATCTCATTGTCGGAGCTTCCATCTTGAGAACCTAAAAAGACCATGTCAGGCACAGGCGCAAGCGCGAGAGCGGGGAGCGAGGAGCGAGTGGTAGTAACTGACCTGCCAGATCGCGGTCCTCATCCTCCTCGAGTGACGCCATGAAGCTTTGACGCTGGTCGCCTATCCCAAGCAAATGTCACGATTCAATATGCGGCCCCGCCCTTTTCAATTGCCAATTGGGGGGGCAGGCAGTCTAGTTGCAGTCTGGTGCGGAGAGCTTCGGCGCAGATGGAACCCTGGTCCCACCGCGGTGCAGCAATAAGGGCTTCGTGATGGCGAATTTTAGTATATTTGCAGGAAAAGTCACTGTATTTGATACAGTTCTAAAGACCAAGTAGCATCAGTCGACCCAGACGAAGGTCCTTCAACGCGATGACTGTGAATAAATGAATGCGGATCAGACCGCGCAAGGCGGTCTCGGTCTCCCCTTCTTTCTCTGCTGGGGTCGGGGCCCCACCGGGCCAATCACATGGCTCCGTTGTAGATCTGGGACTCAAGATCGTTGGTTCGATGGCATCAAATGCATGAAATAGCATGAAATTCATGTTTGTGCTAGGTATAAAATAGAACGATATCTGATCAGATAAGTCCGGGCTTTATGGACAGGCAAACATCTTCTGAAGGCAGCCACGACCGGTCTTTACCATTTACCATTTACTCATCGTGCCTTCCCTACTTCTACTTCTACTTCTACTTCTGCTTCCTCTCCTTCCTCCTCTTCCATCTTTCCTCCACATCCCTCTTTTCTCTTTTGCCATTCCCCCGCTTCACCTCGCACTCACCTCACTCTTCTCAACGGTTGTCGATATCCCAAACGATCTTTCGATATCTTTCGACGCTCCGGTCCAACCCCCAGCCAAGAATGGCTTCACGTGGTCGTGCTGCTGGGAAATTGGTCCAACCCGATGGCCATCCCAATACAACTTCCAGTCAATCCAAGTCCCCTGGTTATCCTGCGAATCCGGCAATTCGAAAATATTTCGCAGCCCCCAACCTGTCGGATGGGGTTCCCCTTCCGCGCGGCCAAACGGAGGACTGGCGCAAAAAGTCCGAGCTTCCTACTACGGAAGAGATTCTAGGATTGAATGACGGTTCGAGTGATATTCTGTTGCTTCCGAATCATATATCCGGTCCCTGGCCTTCAACGGAGCTTTATCTCAACGCTCACTACAACTTGATCCGCGAAGATGCCGTCGCAAACCTCCGAGATGCGGTGCTTTATGTTCGAACTTATCCTCGCATGAGTGATAACGGCAACATTGCAATCTACGAGAAGGTGATATCTGAATTTTTCCAAGTGCTTCAAATTGTCATTTGACTGACCGATCTTGATTCTTGAATAGGTTTTCATTGTGCAAGTGACACTGACAAGCTCGGGAATTGCTTTCCGCGTTCAATTCTCCACACGTCGTGCCGGCAAAAGAATACATTGGAAATACTCCAGCCGCCTTATTACCGGGAACATCGTAGCTTTGTCCCCGGTGGAAGACTTTTTTTCAACAAAGTGCATTGTGGGTGTTGTTGCGGCCAGACCTGTCGACAATCTTGAAAAAACCCCACCGGAGGTAGATATTTATTTTGCCCATTCAGAGGATATCAAGTTCGACCCCCAGCAAGAATGGATTATGGTACAAGCACGATCGGGGTATTACGAGGCTCACCGACATACTATGAAAGCCTTGCAGAAGCTATCACAAGAACAGCGAGTCTTCGCCCCCGTCACATTTTCAATGGATAGTTCTAACTTGATCCGATTCCCACTAGATTCCCACTCAAGCAACATATATGTGCCTTGGAAACCGAAATTGGTGCACCTCAATATGTCTTGGACAAGCCAGTGATGAACTTCCAAGCTCTCTCTCCGCCTACCGCCAATGGTAATACGAGTTTCAACATCCTCAATGATTTCCCTACCACTCCGATGGCAGGACTCAACCCTCACCAGTGGCAAGCTCTGGAGCATATGCTGTCAAGAAATATCTCTATCATACAGGGTCCCCCAGGTACTGGCAAGACATTTGTGTCAATCGTCTTCTTGAAGCTCCTATTGTCGCAGATGACCCCAAACGATCCTCCTATCATCATTGCGACACATACAAACCATGCACTGGATCAGCTTCTCAGCATCATCGCTCAATTTGAGGATAACTACATTCGATTGGGGTCAAGGAGCGTAGATCCCGAAATTCGGAAGCGAATGCTCTACGAGATAAAGAAGTCTCTACCAATGCCTACCATAACTGGTGGACTTTTCGGCCCGGCAAGAACTGATCTTCAAAGGCTGTCCGCACAAGTAGCAGAGCTTCTCACGCCGTTCGACCAAGAGGGTATCCATGGCCCAATCAAGCCATCCACCTTTGCCGATTATGGCCTGCTAACACAGATTCAATCCGATTCACTCAAGGACCTCGAACAGTGGGGATCTTCTGCACCCGCGGGAAATGATACAAATCATATTGCAGCGTGGCTCGATGATCAGGTAGAAGAGTTCAATCTCAATCACTGGATCGAAGAGACTGTGTTCACTGAAGATGATATCGACATGGAGTACGAGCAGCTCAAAGAGCTCGAGGCAGAACAGGGACCGAACGAAGATGAATACGAGGCTCTCAATGGTAGATCTCTTCAATTCAGGACAACACATCGGGGAGTTGAAGACTCATCGTACTCAAAACAAGAGATCCGAAATTATCTCTTAATGAGTGATCTGACGAAGATTCCCGTCAAAGCACGGGGGCCCGTGTACAATCTGCTGCGGGATGAGCTTCTGGATCTGGTGAATGCTAAATTGCGCACTGTTACCGAGTCATACGACTTCTACAGTGACAGACTCAAGGTCGGTAGGTGGGAGCGAGATTTCGAGACTCTGCGGAAAGCCAAGCTAGTAGCCATGACAACGACTGGGCTGAGCAAGTATCGTGGGCTTGTATCAAGCTTGCAACCTCGAACTGTACTAATCGAAGAAGCCGCCGAAGTCCTCGAAGCTCCAACCACTGTTGCATGCCTTGAATCTATCCAGCAGCTGATTCTTGTGGGTGATCATATGCAACTAAAAGCGAAGTGTACGTTGATGGATCTTGCCGGGGAGCCCTTCTTCCTAGAAACTTCCATGTTCGAACGCTTGGTCCGAAACGATATACCTTACGTGCAGCTTCAGGAACAACTAAGAATGGTCCCCGACATTCGAGAGCTTCTGATGCCTATCTATGGCAGTCTGTATGATCATCCCTCTGTGCTCAAAACTGCCCCCATCCCGGGAATGGGTGATCTTCGATCGTTCTTTTTCACGCATGAGTGGCCTGAAAGCGGAGACAGTCTCACTTCTAAGCTCAACGAATGGGAAGCCATCATGGTTGTGGAGTTCTATGTCTATCTGGTGCTTAATGGAATTTCGATATTCGACATGACCGTTCTGACGTTTTACAACGGCCAGAGGAAGTTGATTCTCAAGCACATGAGGACAAATAAGTACCTCGCTCATCATGCACCCAAAGTTGTCACGGTCGACTCGTACCAAGGAGAGGAAAACGAAATTGTTCTACTCTCGCTCGTTCGGAGCAACAAGAGTAATGGAATCGGGTTTCTCACCTCTGACAACAGAGTGTGCGTTGCAATCTCTCGGGCAAAGAGAGGCCTTTACCTGTTCGGAAATTCTGAAATCCTGGAGCAATTCAGTCCTCTTTGGGGCAGCATCATTACGATTCTTAGATCTTCAAATGGCGATCCACGGATTAGCGGCATCCTTCCCTTGACCTGCAAGAAGCACAAGAATGAAACTTTGATTCGGGGTCAGTATCAATAGCTATTTTTCGTCCTTGTTTGTTAACTTTTGACTCGGTATCTAGTACCCGGAGATTGGAAAACGATCAAAGGGGGCTGCAGGGAAGCTTGCGGAGAGGAACTCGGTTGTGGGCACAAATGCACGCTTTTATGCCACGGGTAAGCTGCACAGCTATAACAGAAAATGATTTTTTTTACATGATTCTGAGTTATCTGACGTGGGGAACTAGCTTCGACCATTCACTGGAATGGACTACTTGTCAACAACCATGCACCCATGTGCAAAAGTGCTGTAAGTTGCCTTGCACAGATATCTGTGGCAAATCCCACCATCACTCATGCGACTGCATTATGAACGACAAATTCAGCACAATGCCTATCATGGAAAAGCCCCCGGTTGATCATAGGGCTGGAAGGCCCTGGCCCAATGGAGCTTCCGAGGCTGCACAAAAAGCCCGAAGGCAGGTCATCGCCATGGATGGAGTGAGCTCATGGGGCCAATTCGTCAGCAACGCCCGTGCTGGTAACATTGACAGAGCAAACATGGGCGTTTTTCAAAGTGTGGGCTCTCAGGATGTTCAGGAGGGGCTCAAGCGAGCCACTGAAACGTACATTTCTCTAGCCTCGAAAAGGCTGAACCAAGAACCAGCTAGCACCGCCGCTAGCAAAGGTCTCGTTAAACCTTCCAACTCCGAGTATTCGCCTATCAACAACCCCGCGGCACTACCCCCTGCTGATCTTATCGACCTTGACTAGTTGGGATACTTGCACCGCAGAATATCAGAGTTCGGCTGGGTGCCCCTGATATTTGGATTTAAAACCTACCCTCTTTACCACGTATCAATGCATCCGTCGAGACTTAGTATCTAGCACCTCCATATCCTGCAAGCAAGAGAAGAGGAGTAGACGGAGGAGGAGAAGAAGAAGAAGGAGAGGAAGGAAGCCTCTATTTCTCGAAAAAGCATTAATAATTTCAGTTTACAACAAAAGGGAGATCACAGATTGCCAGTAATTTCGTAGATTATGTCATCAAATGTATGTCCAAGTATTTCCAAGTAGTATGTGTAAGTATTTCAACAAGAAGGCAAGGGGATTAGAAACGCTAAATCATAATCATATACTGCTCCAAACTATTCCCAAGACAGTTGATAAACGGCCATTGGGTATTTCGTTTGAACAATCTGGACCACAGCTTTAGCACCGCCATACCCAATGCCGGCGGCTCGAGGTTCAGCGGCGCTTCGGATTCGTCCTCGAGGTCAATAGATGAATAGGCCTCTTCAACAATACATTGGGTCCAGCGAAGAATCCGGCTTTCGTTTTCTGGTCATGATTGTCAGTGTGAGTTTTTCTAATTTAAAGACCATCCCAAGAACTTACCACTCAGCGCCTGGTCTGGCCCCGCCTCCGCAAGGGTGAAAAGCCACTTGCTCAGCAGGACTGCGCATTCCAAGCTTGCGAGAGAATGGCGCACACTCCAGAAAAAGGCCTGGCTGCGTGCAATGTGATCGATGCCCAGGCGCACTGGGATGCTGAGGGCGTGTGCAGCATATATAAGGGCCGGGATGAGACGGTAGCTTCGCTCCGGCTTTGGAGAGCGATACAATGCAGCGGCAATAGTTGCTGGGTCGCGCGTTTCGAGGCGGCGGTACGGACCGAGATTAAGAGACAGGCGTACATAAGCAAGTCCTAGGAGTGAGCTTGATGTAAAGGGGATCGGGCCATTATCATTGTGTGGGTCGAGGCTTGACTCTGGAGCTTGTTGCCAGACACTAGTCCAGGAGCGGAGGGCTCGCCTGGGTAGATTGTCAGTATATTTGCTGTATAATAGTTCAGTGAGAATGACAGCCTTACTCAATCTTGTTTAGCTCTTCGGTCGGCAGGCTGGTCGAATGAAGCCCGTTCGGCAAGGAAAGTTCGCTGACAATGTGAATTCGCTGAAGCAGGCCATGGAGCAGCATGTAATTGCCCAACGGAGCGGGTATCGGCTCCAATGGTACTGCCGAGCGCGATTTTTGAAGCAAAAGTGTCAGCGCATCTTGGAAGAACAACTGTTGAGGACCACGGGCTTGCTGGGCAGCTTCCCATTCGACTGCATTGTTCGCTATCCATTCGATCGTCGAGCAGGGAAGTCGCATGTGGATTTCGCTGCTACGTAGCGATGGGTAGACATTGTAGGCCAGGCTGTGAATATGAATGAAGCAGAAAGCGATAAGTTTAGTCCGTCGAAGGGACTCTTGGTCTGCCCACTCATACCAGTCCAGTGGTTGACCACGCGCATCAGAATATGGCTCCGTCAAGCCAACGTCGCGAAGATGCTGAACCAGCTGACCTTGAATCTGGAACGCCTCCTGTACAAGCCCTGCTCGCTCCCATGTAGCATAACTCATGAGGACGAGTAAACAGCGAACCACCTCCATCTTCCGTGAAGCGGGGGTGCCCCCGCTGCCCCCTGATCGATTCTGATCTCCATATTGGGATGCCATCGGATAGCCCGATTGGGATTCTCTGTTCATGCGTTCGTAAAGGACTGCCTTGGAAACATGAAATATTTTCTCGGCATTGCGATGTTCAAAGCGATACTGGGCACCGATAGTCATCATCGCGAGAACTAATTCGGCAGAGCACTCGCTAAAGCGGAAAGTCGGAATATGAATGAACGGAATGTGGGGATGGAATCCCTCGAAGTAGGACGTGAGGTAGCGAGTCAGGGTATGTCGAGAGGGAAGGGTGAAATCTGGTATGACGTTTCGAAAGTCCTCGAGAGATGCAGCGAGTCGGAAGCGTTGATCCTCTGAAATATTGAATCGAGAGACTTTACCAGTGGCTTGCGGTGGCTCTAAATTTTTCATGAGACTTGGTTCCTGTCACAATAACATTGCATATAGGGCAAGACTTACCACTATCGGAGAGAGTACCAAGGCTTTGATCCCCACGGGGTACCGAGGGTAGCCATGATCTAAAAGGGGAATCTCCTCTCGAGCCATCGCGAATACTTTTCGGTCGCTTTGGCTGTTCCTGAGAGGGTGGTATTGGTTTCTGGACATCCTCAATGCCAATGTCTTGCATCTGAGAGGGATCTGCTTCAAAGGGCAGCCATTCGGCCGGGAGACCAATGGAGTCCAGAAAATGGGTAAATTCTTGGAAATGGTTGAGATCCTCAGGCAAATAGGGTAACGCTAGGCAGGAGTTATTTAGTAAAGAAATATCCATTGGGTTCCTAGCACTCTGTACTTACAAGGTGCTTGATAGTCGCCCGGGAGGAGCAGCTGAGCGGCCTGCAGCATGGCGGGATCATGCATTCCAGGGTGCTCCTCCGGGTTGGGATTCGCATTGGAAGTTGGCCCTACGGGCATTATGGGGGGCTGGCTCTGGGGTAAGTATGAAGGCTGGGGTGGCGGCGGCCCTGTCCATTGAGGCGGCGGTGGCTGCTGCTGTTGCTGCTGCTGTTGCTGCTGCTGCTGCTGCTGCTGCGGTATCGATGCAGGTCGGGCTGATGCATCATATTGCGGCTGCGGGATGGCTGCAGGAGCTGGTGGGGGTTGGACTGCGACTGGGACTGCTGGGGCCGAGGCCGAGGGTTGGAGACCGGACTGGGAGTCTGGTGAGGTGAACCCATCCTGATGTGAGATGCGATTGTGTCTCTTCAATAGATCACGCCTAGTAAAAGCCGCCCCACAGAAGCAGATGAACGGTTTCTCCTTAGTGTCTGATGATGATGGTCAGCCACCTCCACGGTAATATTACCCCAACACACCAGACCACTTACGAGTTCGGACATGGCGCTCCAAATGTTCGGTGCGACGAAAAGCTCTACCGCAATGGACACAGATCCGTGCTTTTGCGCGGCCTGACTGGACTGGGGATGGCATGGCTCGGAGTCACTTGGAGAAGAGGAGAAAGTGGAGGATTGCCGAAGTGAGGAGTCGCCCCCAAGCGGTGACTCCAACGGGAGGCCCACTCTTCCCAAGGTTATCTCCCTCTCCCAATACTCGTAGCTACAGCTATAGGAATAGCCACCTACTTCCTGCTGTCTTCTTCTTATTCTTCTCCTTTCCATTAAGCAGCTGATAGAATGTCCCTGCTCAAGTCAATCTTCCCCGGCGTCGCCGTCGTCACCGGTGCCGGTGGAACTGGTATGCCATTCCCTATGCGGAGACATATCTGATCCACAGTTCCACTCACATCATGCTACTCAAATATAGGAATCGGCGCTGCAGTCACCAGAGCTTTTGCCGCTGCAGGATGTGAAAGAATCGCCATCACAGACGTCAATCCATCCACCCTAGAGCAGACCCGACACGCAGTCGCCTCCACTTATCCTAAGGTGCAGCTCCTCGCCCACGCGGGCAGTGTCGCTGAGGATCTCTTTGCACAATCGTTCATCGATCACGTCGTCCAAAAATTCGGCCGTGTCGACTATGCCGTCAACTGTGCAGGTGTGTTGGGTCTGCCCAGGAGGTCAGATGAAACTAGTATTGAGGAATTCGATCGCGTCAATAATATCAATTATCGTGGTTGCTGGCTATCTTCCCGGGCTCAGCTGAAGCAGATGCTTGCCCAAGAGGCACTCCCAAGTCATGATTCCCGTCGCCCTCCCCAACGAGGTGCCGTCGTGAATATTGCCAGTCAGCTGGGAATCGTCAGCCGTCCAAATGCACGTGAGTTTTAGTCCCTTGTTTTGTCTCCTTGTTCAAGTTGAGATATATATCTTATTTTGATCTCCGTGAATTAGCGGCATATTGTGCATCAAAATCAGCCATCATTGGTCTGACGCGTGCCGATGCAATTGATTACTCCAAAGATGGGATCCGCGTGAACTGCGTATGTCCCGGGGTCATCGAGACGCCTCTAGTGATGGAGAAAAAGGAAGTGCGTGAAGCCATCACTCCAGCCGTAGAAACCGCTCCCATGAAAAGGATGGGGATGCCGCAAGAAGTGGCTGATGCAGCCCTATTTCTTTGTTCAACGCAGGCTTCATTCGTTCAAGGTCATGCGATGGTAGTGGATGGCGGATATATCACAGTGTAAATAGTATTGGAAGAACCTTCGAAGTTACGATCACATCTGTGGACGAGTTATACTAGTAGTTACTACTTTACAAGTACTAATAGTACTAGTAGCTATTAGGAAACGCTCTTAGTAGTATACTCAAATTGAAGTTAGAATACGTCTTTACCGCTAGTCTAGTATCCAAAGAGGGCTAAGGTAAGGAAACTATGGTTCATTTCGAAATCAATTCATAGTAACTTGAATGTGTCTATCCGTGAATATCATCATCTGCTATCTACATACTCGCTTCAGAGGTCGCTGGTTCTTAATTGTCGAATGCTGCATCTTCTTCCAATTAAAATTCGTCTCCCATGCATGTCCAACTTGCAATATTTTCTCTTCTTGCCACAGGCCGCCAACAATCTGCATACCAACAGGCAACATAACCTGCTCATTGTCCTTCGCTGGCGCGAACCCGACAGGAATGGACATGGCAGGATGGCCTGTGACATTGAATATGGCAGTATTAATCGTCAATCCCATGCTGGGCTTGAGTGACTCCAATGGAAGACCCCGTTTTCCATTCTTCGGTGCCACAACAGGAGTCGTGGGCATCACCAAAGCATCATATTTTTCAAAAAGCGCTTGGTACTTGTCGCTTACTTGCCGTCCAATGTTCACTGTCTTTCCATAAATATTTGGGAAGCGCGACATCAGGTATAAGCCGTTGATAATGACATTCTTCGTTGATGGGAAGGCTCGCTGGAAGCCTTCATCGGACCAAGGGAGCCTGCTTTGCTCCGCTTCTGTCATGCATAGGCCCCGTCGCCCAGTATTATGACCCAGAAGTGTCTGTGCTCCAGCAATTCTTGAAAGAATAGTCCATAGTGCCGGACCGTGTAAGTGGTCTGGAAGCGATACTTCCTCAACGATGGCGCCAAGATCTTCGAATTTCCTGGCGGCGATTGAGACTGATTCTCTGACGTTGGCATCCACAGCGCTATGTTCGAAGCCTTCTTTTAAAATTCCAATTATTCGACCATCAAGTCTTCCGGGAGTCTCTTCAATCGCTGCTGCAAATTTTGTAGAACCTGGCTTGGGGCTTGCCAGTGAGCGATCGTCGATACCATCATAGCCACTAATCGCATCTAAACACGCCGCAACTTCACGGGTAGTGCGGGCGAGTGGACCGGCATGGTCAACCAAGGCATCTCCGCTAGATATGCCGGTGTAAGGAACTCGGCCATGAGTAGGCTTCAGTCCAACACCTCGAATGAAGTTAGTTAGGTTTGTTTACGATGATTTGACGATGACTTACATCCACACAGGGCTGCAGGGACTCGAATGCTTCCACCCTGATCCCCTCCAATCGTAACATCAACCAAGCCCGCAGAGACTAAAGCTGCACCGCCAGATGTGCTCCCTCCTGCTGAGTATCCCGCTGCATGGGGATTCTCAACTGTACCCTGAGCACTCGTATATGAGGACGTGGAGTGGCAATAATTTTCGCAAGTAGAGGTTCCATGAATGTCCGCACCCGCGTCGAGGAGTCGCGTCACCACTGTTGCGTCTGTTGAAGGCGTCCATGCCGGTGTGATATCACTTCCAAGAAGTTGTGGCACTCCGGCCACAGCAATTACATCCTTCAAGCTCACGGATTTACCCGCCATCACGCCGCCTTGCGGATTTCCCCTGATGAGGAACTTATGCGACCATGCCTGTCCAAAGACCTGCTCTTCTTCTCCACACCGACGGACATTTTCACGCGGATATTTCGCCGTGTCAGACACTGGCTGATAGTCGGGTAGTGCAGCCACATCCTCTGCGCAATCGTGGACCGCCGCGAGGAGGGTCTGGAAATCGCTCGACTCTTTAGGATCGATGGTAAGACCCAGAGGCTGAATCAGGGCTTCAGCATCGCCAGGTTTAACAGGATTACCCCTGGACTCGTGGTCAGTACATCTGCCATGTAAATCATGTCACCGACTTTGGGTTTCCTACTCACTCGGAGATGCTTGTGAAAAGGACCGACATGCTGGAATGAGGCAAAGGTGCGCGACTACTCTAACTATCGCGTCGCCGGGGAGTTGAAGATCTTATGGAAGTGCATCATGCCACAATTTCTCGAAACTCATCGGCAATCCCCGAATCAAGATCCATTCATTTGGAGACCCTTCTTTGCCGACGAGCCCATCAATGTCGTGAAAAAAAGACCATTTATTCGACCCCAACTCGACCCCAACTCCCAGGACCCACCACAGGCCTCCATATATCTCGGAGCGAGGTAAGAGAGATGGGAAATAAGAAGAGCATGTGTTTAAGGGTTGATAGCGAGGATAAGATTACACATTTTCTCGACAAAAAAGTCGGTTCGTATCGGACATCGATCGATGATATTGGAGACTCCGACGGCCCCAACGCTCCGAGAGGGCGAGAGGGGCTGGTCTTCCCCGCATTCAAAAAGCGTTCAATTTTCGTAACACAAGACACTAGACACTAAACACTAAACACGTACAAAAGCCCCGCGCGACACTCACACTCATTCCCAACCCTCCCATTACCAATTAATCAGACACAATGGGCCCTAAACGCGTTCTCATCACATATGGCGTCGACGTCGATGCTGTCTCCGGGTGGCTCGGCTCGTATGGCGGCGAGGACTCGACGAACGACATTAGCCGGGGTGAGTTTTGAGCCGGCACCAGCTGTGTATCTGCTTCTGACCTTGATTTCGCTAGGCCTCTGGGCGGGAACAATTGGAACTCGTCGTCTCCTCAAGCTATTCGACAAGTACGACATCAAGACGACATGGTTTATTCCTGGCCACTCGTTGGAAACCTTCCCTGAAGACATGGCGGCGGTCCGCGATGCTGGTCACGAAATCGGACTTCATGGATACTCGCACGAGAATCCGACTGATATGAGCATTGAACAACAACGTGATGTTTTGGATAAGACCTACCGTATGCTCACCGAGTTTGCGGGAAAACCGCCGCGGGGTAGCGTGGCACCTTGGTACGTTTCTATCGACTGAAAAATATGTTATGATAACCGGCCCTAACATAGTCTTCAATCAGGTGGGAGACGAGCCAGGAAGGTGCTCAGTTACTCCTGGACTATGGTATCGAGTACGATCACAGCATGAGTCATGAGGACTGTCAGGCATACTATCTGCGCACCGGCGACAGCTGGACGAACATCGACTATAGTAAGAAGGCGGAGACTTGGATGAAGCCCCTGGAGCATGGACCACAGACGGGACTGGTTGAGATTCCATCGAACTGGTATATTGATGACCTGCCTCCTATGATGTTCATCAAGAAGGCGGCAAACAGCCACGGGTTCGTCAACCCGCGAGATGTGGAGGATATCTGGCGGGACCATTTCGATTATTTCTACCGCGAGTATGACGAGTTTATCTTTCCCATTACCATTCATCCGGATGTGTCTGGGCGACCACATGCGCTGTTGATGCATGAACGGTATGTCTGCTTTATCTTCTGTTGTACTTGTCCAAAGCTAATATGGGATAGTCTGATCGAGCACTTCAAGAAACACGATGGGGTAGAGTTCGTGACGATGGAGCAGCTTTGCGATGACTTCAAGAAGAAGAACCCAGTTCCTGAAGGGGCACTTATGCCAGCTCCAGTCGGAGAGATCCTGAAGAAGTAAATAGATTGAAATTGGATTTCTCGCAACCCCCCTTCTGTCGCCGGTTTTGTCTTACCGAGTACCTACGCAGCAACTATCTGTACTAGTAGTAATAGGTTGTCGTTTGACCCAAGAAATCCCAGGCATGTATTGCCGGCTGTACTATCTCCGTGAGATCTTGCTATAACTAGATGATTTTGTATATGCTCTTCCAAGGTTGTGCCCCATCATACTGAAATACTACCAGTAATACCTGTCCTACATGCAAATCATTACAATACCTAGAATCCATTCTTGAATCAAGAGTCACACCCCCATGTCTTCTGCTATACTTTCCCAATGTGATGGTTCATGGTACTGTGAAGCCTTATAACTACCCCAACCCATCCTGTCCGACCCCAACTTGAACATTCCTGGCCTTCTCCAACTCGCGCCGGTTTCTATCGCACCTTGCCTTGCCCAGCCAAGTTAAATCCATTCGCCACTCACTTGTCGTTATCACGCGTGTATTTTCCCAGAAGCTTCCCTTGGCTTTGATTGGACCAGAAGGTTTACTCCAACTACTAGCCCCGTTTAGAGCTTCGACCGGACATGACCCCAACGACCCCTAAGCTTGCGGCCCACGCCTCTCAAGGCGAAATCCACTCAACCCATCTCATCGTCGCGGTTATCAGACAGCTGGAATTCGCGGGGAAAGCATACAGTGGAGCAAAGTCCCACTTTCTCTCCATTTCTTGCCATTGTTATCGTGCTCTCCAGACAAGCCCCAGCAAAGCCTAAGTCCCGCAGCCTATCACAAACGGGAAATGAACGAGGTGACGCCGGGAAGAACCCGGGTCGTGAGATAAGTTCTTGCCTTTTCGACCGTGGATTTACTATATATCCCCCCTATTTTCTCTGTTTCGAGTTTCGAATCATATCTCTTCTACTGTATATTCGAGCCCAGGTCGCAGCTAGACGCTGTCCCCGAGCTTCGATCCTCAACATGTTCTCGCAAGACGAGATCAAGGTGGTTCCTCATGACTCCCATTCCCCCGATACACAGGCAGCCGAGATTGAAGACCGCTATGAGGTCTTCAAAAGAGGCGATGGCCAAGTTGATTTCCGCACTGTGAGCTGGATCCGCGCGGGTGTGATTTTCTTGAAGAGTAAGGGGCCCCTGGAATCCAAATCCAAATCAACACGAATCGTGCAGTACGCTGACCAAGGCCATTCTGGCAATCGTTCTAGTCATCTTCGCCACTGGTGTGCTCTCAATACCATCTCTGATGTATCAGCTCGGTGCATTTCCCGGCGCTGTCAATGTCGTCGGCTGGACCCTCCTCAATACCTATTGTGCCATCGTCCAGGGTAATTTCCGCAACAAATATCCGGGCTGTCACTCCATTGCCGACATGGCGCAGGTCGTTGGTGGTCCGATCTTGAAAGAAGTAGTTGGAGTTTTGTTCACTATCAGTTATGTCATCGTCGCTGCGTCCGGTATTATCGGCGTCTCGACGGCACTGAATGCGCTGTCACTTCACTCCATGTGTACAGTATGGTTCTCGTTGATTGCGACGATCATCATTGCTGGGTGTGCGAGTGTGCGTAAATTCTCCCACATCGGTTGGTTGACCTGGGTTGGATTTGCCAGTGTCTATGTCGCCGTCTTCATCATCGTGTATGTCTTCTTTCCAACCCAAACCCCCCCGCATTTTCATCTTTATCATTGATATGCTGACCCTATCATACTAGAATTGGTGTCACAGTAAGAGATCGACCCGCCGCGGCGCCACAGACAGGAGATTTTGATTTAGGATACCGTGCCATTGGCAATCCCAGCTTCACGGTGGGCATCACCGCCGCGGCGACGATATTCGTGTCCAGTGCTGCAACATCAGCATTTCTCCCCGTGATCTCTGAAATGCGCAAGCCCAAGGACTACCCCAAGGCAGTTTATATGAGCATGAGCCTGGTCACTGCTTCATACCTGACATTTAGTCTGGTAATCTACGCCTGGTGTGGCAAGTGGATCGCATCGCCTTCGCTCGGCAGTGCAGGAGAGACAGTCAAACGCGTTGCCTATGGGATCGCACTGCCCGGTCTCATCATCAGTGGCTGTTTGTATGTGCACGTCGCGGCGAAGTATCTTTTTGTGCGCATTTTGCGTAACTCGCGACACCTCCAATCGAATACGGTGGTGCACTGGGGAACATGGCTGAGCTGTACGCTTGGGATGGCAGCAATTTCATTTGTCTTGGCATGTGCGATTCCCATCTTCAACTACGTGCTGGCACTGGTGGGCAGTCTGTGTTTTGCGCCCCTGGCTCTCAGTCTTCCCGGTTGGCTTTGGCTGTATGGGCATGGGGAGTATCTGAAAGGGGGACTGTGGCGACAAATGATATATGGACTACACATTTTGTTGGTGTTGCTGGGCGTGTTTATGACGGTGGGTGGAACATATGGGGTGATTGTTCAGATCAAAGAGGCGTATGCGGATGGATCAATTTCGTCGGCATTTTCTTGTGCCGATAATAGTGGGTCGGTGGGGACATAAAACATAAAATCTGTATATTATCGACACTCCGTACTCCGTACGGACGTTAGTACCCAATTTCGATTGGAAAAAACTGGGTCCGAGAAATAATGCACAATGCAAAGCTGATGTATATTAATTGTGCTGCTCAGAGGGAATTGAACTTGAATACTAAATAGTCCCTAGGACTACCAGTACTACCCGTACTACCCCTGATAACCTTCCTTAATACCATTGGCAGTATCTCTGGTATCATGTGGTATTGCGGTACCACGGGTATTCTGAGTGAGCGCGTATCTAGCACTACATTTTCGCGCCTAAAATGACTCGCATTCGGATACATACCAGTCCAAAGTGGAGCCCGTGTATGAGCACAAGACCTTGAGGATAGAGGTACCCACCGTTCTCAGTTTCGCCAAAGCTATTGGAAGGGGGGAGTAAATTATGTGCCCAATTGAAACCAGATGACTCGGGGATGACTACTGGGCTCACTTAGTGTCCGCTGAGCTCCGGAGCAGCCGGGCTTAACGGGTTCGACAGGCTCCGTGCCGCCGAATCCGAGACGGGCCTTATCGGTTTTGTTCTTCCCATCTTAAGGTAGGCCTTCTTTATGCGATTTCTCTCCTCCATTCTCCCCTCCCCCCCCCCCCTCTTTCACCTTCCCCCTCTTCCCCTCTCCTCTCGCGATTTCAACTCTTGACTCTACTCTACTCCCATTTCTCAAATAATAACCCAGTGATGCAACAATAGTGCTGAATTGAGCTCGATCTTATCAGCACTCCGTTATCAGTGCTAAATCCACCCCCCCACACGCACACTCACTCTCACTCTCACACACACACCACCTCAGTCGCCATGCTTCTCATTCAACTACCACTCGTGCTACTTCTCAGCAGCTTCATCTCAGCTGCAGCGATCCCTTCCTCCCCACACGACATCACCACACCCGAATGGCCATCCTCGGAGACCGCCTCCTCCCCATCAGACGATGTCAACTCAAGGCACCTCGCCAAACGAAGACCGTATTACTTTCCTGAGACCGTCCCAGACGAAGAGGAAATCGCTGCCCGACTCTCCGCTCTTCGTGAAGCTGGCTACCTGCCAGACAAGCAAACCCTGCAAGGACATGATCAAAAGTCAATCGGAACTCCGGATGCAGCGATCGACATGGACCCGAGTAGTGCACGGCCATCGTCCACTCAGCAGCCCCCCTCCGCGCTATCCGAACGAGACACTCCACGCTTCAGCTGGGAAGATACCATACCAGGCCTATTCCCAGCAGCCTGGTTCTTTGTCTTCGCCTCCGTCGTCGTCTGTATCGTGACCGTGTTCAGGGGACTAAGCGATAAAGGAAAACACTGAGCGACCAGCCAAAATCGCGTACTCGTAACTGAGACCTCCCGTACGCGAGGGGAGGCGATCTTTCACTTTGACATTCCCGCCAATCCTACCTTATGACCGTAAGGTATTTTGATTTTGCGATCGGCACAATTCACTTCCCACCCAATCGGTCTAATGTGCACGCGATGTTGTGATGTCTGATCTTATGCCGAAATCATTATTTCTACACCCTACGCTCATACTCACGCTCACACTCCATTCACTACTCACCACTCAACCCCTCCCCCGCATGAGTTACCGACCGAAACGAAACGCCCACAGAACGCCACGAAGCCCCTCCCTCCCCAACCACGCGTCTCCATGCCGCACGCATGGCTTTCCCCTCTCCGGGCAAGTCGATGCAATGCCAAAAAATAGGCTGTCACACCTAAGAAAAGACCGCCCACCGCTAGTCCCGTTTCGACTCGGCGGGTTTTCCAAGAAAAAAAACACCGGCCACCGACCGCCGACCACCGACACAGACGGTCGGGGTCTGGGTCTGGGTCTAAGTCTGGGTCTGCGGGCGGATCCTTCGTTCTCCACCGACTCTGCCGCAGCGCGCCTGGAATTGGGTGGCTGGGCAAGCAACCGGTCTCGGATCTCGGACTCGTACTCGGGAAGGATGCGAGTTTACCACGATAGGCAACAACGATAGCCATTTTTATGTACGAGTACGTCTTTTACGCCAAATTCCGCGGTGGTGTCTAATGACGACAAGACGGTCGGCATGGACCACCTGATGGTTTTATTTTTAATGAAACCCGACCGTGCAAAGAACAGAAGATGAAATCGAATCCACCCCCCTGTTCTCGGCGATTAAGCGCCATGACTGGTGCTTGGCAGCTGTCTCCTATTCGACCGACACGCCATCCGCGTGCCCGGTTGGTGAACCCGAGTTTGAAATAATTGCGACCATGACGATGATGTTCGACCGGGTACGGGTACTCATGCGCAATTGGAGCGACTCGCGATACGAGCATTGCCCAATAGAGTAACTGATCTTGCCGTCAGTTCATTCGCCGGCGCCCCCAAGTCTCTGCCTAAAGTGCCCAGCTAGCTCATGCTTACGCCCCATCGGGCTGAGGTGAAATGAACTGAACTGCACTGCAGTGCACTGTACTGGAGTAGGGCCTAGCCTGGAGCTCATGAGGGTCTACATACATACATTCACGAACTATTGGATATTATTGGTGCTTGGGAATATTTTTAGGAAACGATTTACGTTATGATTGTCTATCTGTATACGTTCTTAAGGCGAAAGCATTGAAATGAAACCATTCTCCATTTGTCTATCTTCTCTACCGACACACTTATGCGTGTCCCCTTCTCTCTTCTCCTACCTAGCTAGACTCAACATGAGCCCAGCGGAGGAGTACTAGTACATTCAACACCAAGAACAAAATAATAAAAGAGACAGGAAAGGACAGGAGGAATAAAGTACCTAGGTAAATGATTCACGGATACCCATGACGCCATGAAGAATGGAAAATCGAGGTAGAAATGGCCCAAAAAAGATACCGTAGGGTGAAATAAACACGAGGACCACCCAGACAAGCAAATGAAATAGATACACACAAAACACTGCGAAAACCTTCTTTTCTGCAGGCTCCCATCATCCCCAAAAGGAAATTCGGGGGAGGAGGAGGCAGTGTAAAGTCAAATGGACAGAATTGGAAAATGCAAAAGGATAGAATGAATATATACGGTGCGGATTGATGAGGAAATTTATATGCAATAACGTAACAAAAATGGACAACACTGGCACAATTCGATTCGAATTCAAGAATCGTCGACCAGACGCTTCTGCGTCCAGGCACGCTTCGCCCCATCTAGGAGAACGTCCATATTACCGCTATTCTCGCACATGCTCCGGAACAAGCCGCCTTCGCGGTTGATCAAGTCCCAGGGATGCTCAAATTCGATGACGCGCCCGTGGTCGAGGACCAAGACCTTGTCGTAGTCGATAATGGTTTGCAGGCGGTGCGCAATAGTGATGATTGTGCTACTGTGCAGTTCGCGCAGGGTCTCTTGGATTTTGGCATCGGTGGCGTAGTCGATGGAGGCGGTGGCTTCGTCCATCATTAGGACACGGGGTTGTTTGAGGAGGGCGCGTGCGAGACATAGGAGTTGGCGTTGGCCTTGGGAGAGGTTTGAACCGGATTCTGAAACGAGGCTGTCCAGGTTGTGGAAGACGTTCTTGTTGTCGGTGGCAACGGTGGTCACAGCCGCCGTGCTGCCGTTCATGGCGTTGGCTTCGGTGGCGGTGAATGTACTCGTGGTCATTGGGGTTGCGGTGCCCGAACCATCGGATCCGATCAGGTGCACGCGGCGGATGGCAGTGAAGATCTCCTCGTCGCTAAAGAGGCCGAAGGGGTCGAGGTTGCTGCGGATGGTACCGGTGAATAGAGTCGGGTCCTGAGGCACAATAGTGATTGCTTCACGAAGATCACGAAGACCAATAGAACCAATGTCAACGCCGTCGATCAAGATCTGACCCTTCTCGGATTCCAAGCCACGGAAAAGTGCCAATGCCAGGGAACTCTTGCCAGCACCTGTACGACCAACAATGCCGACCTTCTCACCGGGCTTCACGGAGAATGACACCTCCTTGAGCACAGCATCGAGGTCAGGGCGATAGCGGGTGGTATATCCCTTGAACTCAACAGCACCTTCAGTCGGCCAGCCAGTCGTAGGGCGAGATTCGGGGATGACAGGGGCGGCCTCCTGGTCAACGTCGAGATACTCGCGCACGCGCTCAACCGAGTTCATGTTTTGCTGAACCTCGGAGTAGAGGCGGACAAGCCAAAGGACATTTTCCGTGAATGTAACAGCGTAGGTGAGAGACAGACCAGCAGCACCGGCATCGATCTTGCCAACATTGATCAAGACGAATGTAGCCGAGAAGAAGGAAACGAGAGCACCGGTCCAATCCACACGAAGAGCGAGCCAGCGGTTACTAGCCCAGAGGTAGATGTGTGGTCGGTTATAGGCGTTGATGCGGCGGTGGTTGTCAACAATGAAGCGAGGGCCGTCGCCATAAGCACGGATGGTAACGATACCATTGAGGGTCTCGCCGAATTGTTGGTACAAGGGGCTGCGCTGGACAGATTCCAGACGCTTGAGATCTCGGGACGAGTTCAGATAGATGGCGCCAAGAGCGGTGTATACCAGAGTAATGAAAACACCGGCAATCAGGAATCCTGGGGTGATGCAAGAAATCAATATCACGATCATGATCACCGATGCCAGACTGTGTAGCATGCCGATTGCCACTGGTGCGACTTCCTGATCGACTGATTCAACATCCTTAGAGAATCGGTTCATGAGCTGGCCGAGGGGTGTAGAATCAAAGAAGCGGAACTTGGCGTGCATAACAGTCCTGAGGAGACGATCGTGGATCTTCCAGGATGCGTGAAGAGACCCCCAGAATAGAACAGCCTCTCGGCTCAGGGAGATCGCGATATACAAAAAGCCGAGTAGAGCATATACACCAAGGTAGTAAAGAACGTCGACCTGGCCGTCGGGTGTGGTACCCGAAGCGCGGGTGTTCAATTGAGGCGGCCCGAAAGTGCTCATTTTAGAAACACTTCCAACGTTGAAAGACGGGGGCTTGAGATGGGCAGCGGCAGCATACTGTCCCACATCCTCTGAACCGACGTTAGATGTTTGGTAAGCATTGGCCCACTGGCGAATCCAAATATTGGTCGAGACGGAGCCCAGCTGCTGCAGACAGAAGACAGTTACGGCAAGAATCCAGTATGGCCACGAGCCCATTGATCCGAGGTACATTGTAACCGTAGACATCTTGATACTACCAGTGGCTTTGCCTTCTTTCATGTGGGAGTCGTCTTTCTTGCCCTTGTCGGCTGTTCCATTGGCGTTTCCGTTCGCACCAGAGTCCGTAGAGTCCTCCTCATGTTCCGATGGGACACGAGAGAGGCCACGCGAGCTAGCTCGAGATCCAGGGCGAGACTTGAAGAATTCCTCACCCAGGGCACCGGTAGCAGCAACATCATCAGGGCGGCCTTGTGAGGAAATCTTTCCGTTTTCAAGTACAACGACGTGATCAGCTTGGGGTACGGCCAGGGCCACATTGTGAGTAACCAGGATGCATGTGCGGTTGATCATCAATGGACCTGTCAGAGCTTGACGGAAAATGTGCTTGGCAGTGTGAGAGTCAACGGCAGAAAGGCAGTCATCCAACAGCAGGTGGGCGGCACTGCTGTAGATAGCTCGAGCCAAAGAGATTCTCTGCTTTTGGCCGCCAGAAAGACTAATGCCCTTCTCACCGACCAATGTTTGGTCACCAGCATCCAGGATAGTGATGTCACGCTCCAGGGCGCATGCCTTGAGGACGGCACGATAACGCTTCTCGTCGTAAGGGGTTGCAAAAATGATGTTCTCTTTAACGGTATCATTGACCAGCCAAGCTTCCTGGGCGCAATACGCAATGCTATCAATCAGACCGGTCTCGGGATCGACGGGAAGTTCGGAGCGGTTCGACATGCCACCGGGGAGATGGACCCGACCTTCGACGAGGCGCATTTCACCAAGCATAGCCATAAGGAGAGAGGTCTTTCCGGAGCCAGTGGGGCCAGCAATGATACTGAGCTTTCCGATTGGGAAATCGACGTCAACATTGATCAGTCGGAATGCATCAGCGTCGGGGGAAGTGGTGGTTTGGGACTTGGGCTTAGTAGTGCCCCAGGTCAAAGTCGCTTTCTCGACTCCAATCTTTGTCGGCCCATCAGAAGAAGTGCTATCACGCAGTTGATCATATTTGCCAGTCTCCTCCTCGTTCAAGTACTTGTCCACGCGGTCCAAAGAGACCTTTGATTCCTGGACGTGAGCAACCATATCCGCCAATTGGTCCAAAGGCACGCGTAGCAATGAGAACATTGATAGCGCAGGGAAAGCAATCGAAGGGGTCAATTGTTTCTTCTCTACAACAGTGTATAAGAAGAACGAGAGGAATGTGATCAGGATCGGTGTGCCGTACCAAACAGTCGCGGCGCAGGACCAGAGAATGTAACGGCGACGCAGGGACTTAAGTTCAGCCTTGCGCTTCTCGTTGACGATATCCTGGAACCGCTGCTCCCACGCAAAGTATTTGATAATGCGAATGTTCTGCAGAACCTCGTTGGTAGCATGAATACGAGCATCAGTGCCTTTGAGAATCATGTTTTGAACCTTGTTAAACTGCCGGGCAATGAAAAGGTTGACAGGTAGCATCAAAACCATTAGCACAATACCGGCAAACGAGCTGAATCCCATGATCTTGTAAAGCAAAGTGACAGCCATGATGATCTGCACCGGAACACTAGCCCACAAGAAATGTAAGTAGGCGCCAACCTCACTAACTTTGAAGGAATCAATTGCCATCAGGTTAATGATGGTACCGACATTCGCCTGCATTGACGCATCCTCCGGATCGGATTTCGCATTATCGCCAGATTCAGCATCGTTTCCAGATGCGTTCTTCTTCTTACGACCGAAAGATAACAGACCCTTCTTTTTCTTGCTTGGAGTCGTATCCTTGGACCCAGTTGGATCTTCAATGGTCTTTTTAACGGCATCCATGGAGGCACCTGCTTTACGGCGCAGGGCTTTGGCGTAAATCTCACCAATAATGATCGCGCGAATCTTGACACCCATCTTGCGACCAATGTAGAGAGCTTGTCCATCCGCCACACCCTGAACGATCGCGGAACAAAATAGGAGAGTGGCGTACAGCCAAGCGGCATTGGGAGTGGTTGAGCGAGGATCTTCAACATATTCAAGAATAGCTTTTAGAAGCAGACTCGGCACAAACACGAACAGATTGGCAAACACAGTCCAGGCGCCCTGCTTCAGAATGGTTCCGATGAAGAACCGGATGAGCTTCCATGCCAAAGAGCCCGTCATCTGTCGTTTCCGGAAATCGGTGATGACTGAGGCGGCCTTTTGAGAGGGTGTCAAATTCCAGACATCCTCTAACTCCAATGGCTGTCGGTAACCCTTCAAAACCAATGGATCCAACCATGCAAAAGTGGCCAGAGACAGCAGACTGGCCATGGGGTGACGTGGAGGCTCCAACCCATCCTCGCGCTCCACCACAACTGGTTTATTTCCTCGGCGAGTCGTGAGAGCGATGATGAAAAGTAGAGTGGTGAGGGAGAATTGAATACTGCTGAGAATCAAAGCATTTCGGGAAATCGGGTGGATGACGGCGGAACGGAAGACCATTGTGTTGAAAAGCCATTGGGCACTGTACAGAATAGCCGTATGAGTCCACAGTCGCGGGGCCGAGAAGAGATCCATGGTGGACAGCAATAATCGGACCAGGACCAAAAACAGTATATAACCCCAGGAAACCAGACCCGCAATGGCGGGAATACCGCCATGGCGACCCCAGCCCTCGGTAGAAAAGATGACCACATAGAGAGCGAGCTGGCCGATCAGTGCAGCGATTTCGAGTGTGACGATGGCGATTTCTCCTCTCGGGCGGTCGACCTCCAGCTGTAAGTGTTCGGACTCGGTCTGGACGGCCTGGAAGAGCATAGGATCGGACTCGGTTTCGGCGCTGTTGGGGACTTCACCGGCATCATCGTTGACGAGAACCTTGTAGGCGACATCTTTGTGAGAGACGACATAACGGTATGCGAGGCGGACGAGAATGAGGAGCAAGGAAAGACTGCATGCCGCTAGCGGGAGTTGCAGAACGCTATCAGATTTTGACGATCAGTACTGCAACGGTCGCCAACGGTCGGAGGGACTCCGGGAATCCCGATCAGAAAAGAGCTGTGTGGTACTCACTTGCGTTGGAAGCATCGCGACAAGTCGTCGATAGCCCAAACGGGGCCTTCGCAATGTGATAGCATGGTTTGCGGGATGCAATGCCGGCAATAGAGCAATTGAGCTCACGAGGGAAGCTCCCGGCGCAAGCGCGGCGAGGCAATGGACCGTTTTCCTTGCGATGGTAAAATATACACAATTTTGGAAAGGCTATTAGAGAGAGGAGGAGATAGAGAAGAAGAAAAAAAGAGCTTCCCTCCCCTAGTGGATTAACAACGAACTTCCACGGTGCAGAACAAGACTAGCATTGCCAAGTCGAATGGAAGCGGAAGGCGAAAAGCGGAATTTTTTTTGGAGGGAAGAGTGACGAGGATTAGAAAAGCTCAGGGTTTAGCGTGGGAATGATATTGGATAATGAAAATGAAGGCGGGATGGGAGGGCGAGAAACTCGACCTTGGAAGTAAAGAAAAGAGGGGGAGAAGGAAGAAGATGCGATGGAAGCGAAGGGATTGCAGCGCGCACGTTCCTAAAGCGGCGGTGGACGGGTTCGCCCGCGTTTGGTGACATGCGCAGATACTAGAGTAGGTACTGGAGTAGTATATACTATACTACTGGTAGTATATTAGTAGCATAGTATACACTATACTATACTATTGTTATAGTAATAATGGAACAATGAATTATCCCGAACCCCCCTCTCTACGAAAGACCGCTTCATGCGCGCGGCGGATGACTCGATGCAGCGATGATCGCTTCTTATCGTGGACTAGGATAGTTCCCCACTGTGTTATCGGCCAGGCACTGGAAATGAGTCCATTGGATGGGGACTCGTGGTCATGGTCATGGTTATGGGAGGGAGACCTAGACCTAGTTCATACATACTAGTCACTCGCCTATTGCCTATGACTCTCATCCTACTAGTATACTAGTATGTAACTTGCCGACGACTAATTAGGCATCGAAATCTCTTCGCCGCCACGAGCTTTCCCTTTTTGTCTCTTGCCACCACCCACTGACTAAACCGTTTTGGTTCCCAAATTCCCCCCCCCCTCCCCGACATCATCGGCGATCCACCTCCTCTCTCCTTTGTCCCACCTCCAAATACCTTTCCAACTCTCCAAACGCTCGTTCGCTTCAGGCCTGTCACTAAGTGTCGCCTCACAACTAATTCGTCATGGCTGAACGCATCCTCATGAACGAGTTTCGCACCCTTTCCAAGGAGAAATGGGTCAATATCGAGGTCGGTTCCACATTCCACCTACTACCCTGTCCTCCCCATCTCCCGAAGTCCATAGATCAACGGACTAAGCTCTTGGCCACGAGATCAAAAATGAGACCAAGGGACCGATATGGATCTAAACTAACCACCATATCCTCCAGCTTCACAAGGACGATATCTTCAAGTGGGATGTCGCACTGATCGTACTGAACCAAGACTCTCTTTACTACGGCGGCTATCTCAAGGCCTCGATGACCTTCCCACAGAACTACCCATACTCCCCTCCAGGTACATCTGACCGCACCTCCCACTAAGCTATTTCCCCCTCTGCATCTGGTGTGGCAGTGGCGCTAACCAAGCCTGCGTGGTTTTTTTCCCTGCAGAATTTCGTTTCCTGGTACCGCTCTACCACCCAAACATATACTCGGACGGGCGGCTCTGCATCTCCATCCTGCATCCTCCAGGCGAGGACGAAATGTCCGGTGAACTGGCTGCCGAGCGCTGGTCACCTGCCCAACGAGTAGAATCCGTGCTCATCTCCATCCTTTCCCTTCTCGACGACGCCGAAGTCTCCTCCCCCGCGAATGTCGACGCTGCAGTCATGCTGCGCAAAGACCCGACCAAGTACCACGCTACCGTCAAGGCCAACGTAGACGGATCCCGTAAGCTGGCCCCGCCCGGTTTCACGATGCCTGTGGAAGAAGCTCCATCGCGTGACATGGAAAAAGACGACGACGATTTCTGGATGGACAGCGATGTCGACAGCGATCCTTTTGGTGGCAGTGACTCGGACGAGGATATGGATCAGATGAGCGCCAGTGAAGATGACGATGACGATGATGACAGTGAGGATGCTGCCGAAAGCCCTCAGCGGTGAGAGAAGGATTTATAGTCAGAATGGGTCTGGTCCTAGTCCTGGTCGACACATTCTCAACTTCGGCCTTTTCAGCATGCATAGCACTGGTGGCGTACGCATATTCGGGATGTGGCTTTTTTATCCCCAGCATTGGTTATTTTGTAGGAGTTATTTTCTTATTTTTTGCAGCGGATATCGGGCGTTTTGACATCCTATTTTATGTGAATAATGACATACATAGTCATTCTTGCAACTTGATTGAATCAAGTCAAATACTCAAAATCATCACATGCCAGTGGCCAGGTAATACTATACAATCTCCATACCAAAACAAGCTTCTCCATAACTGCGAGCCTCCCGAAGGACCACCCCACAATAGACCCATTTGACCCCCTCATGGTCTGAAACTCCTATATCGGAGCCAACCCCCAACTTCCAATGCCGGCCCCAAACAACCCACCCCCACATATCTTCTAAAGATTACAACCAAAAAGGATTGTGAAAATGGCAACCCAGAAACTCGCCGACTGGTCCACAAACCTCACGTTCGCCTCTCTACCCAGAGAAGTCATCGATGCCGCCACCCAAAGCTTCTACAACTGGGCCGGGTGCACCGTAGGCGGAAGCACCCACCCCGCAACAACGATAGCACGCACCGCGCTGGCACGGTTTACAGGCGCACCAACATCCAGACTCCTTGGTTCTGGGGGTGTGGATTTGGATGCGATGCATGCTGCTCTGTTGAATGGTATTGCGTCGCATGTCCATGATTATGACGATACGCACCTGGATACGATCATTCACCCCACCGGCCCAGTCGCTTCGGCTTTGCTGGCTATGGCCGAGTCGCTGGATCGGTCGGTTTCGGGGCAGGAATTCATTCTTGCTTTGATTGTAGGTGTTGAGGCGGAATGTAAGGTTGGTTTGGCTGTTTGGCCTAATCATTATGATGTTGGATGGTAAGTTCAAGTTTGCATCTGTGCGGGTATATATAGTTCCAGCTCTCCACCTCAAGACTGGGCACTATTCCAATCTATATTCCCCAAAACCTATGGAACCTTGGAATGCGCGACGATCACGATAGTACATGATTCTAAGACTGGAGGTTATAGGCACATTACCAGTTCAACTGGCTCAATCGGCGCCGCAGTGGCCGTATCAAAGCTGCTGAATCTCTCAGCACCACAGACAACACACGCCATCGGTCTCGCAGCAACACAAGTAACAGGATTGCGAGAGATGTTCGGCTCGCACACCAAATCCTTCCATCCCGGCCGCGCCGCGCAGAATGGCTTGTTAGCTGCGATTCTCGCATCAGAAGGATATACCAGCTCGACACAGGCGCTTGAAGCTAAGCGTGGATGGGCGAACGTGGTTAGTTCCGAGCAACATCTCGATGAGCAGATGGCTACGCTCCCGCCTCATGGACGGTGGGAAATTGCGCGGAACTCTTTCAAGCCCTTCCCCTGTGGCATTGTGGTGCATCCTGTGATTGATGGGAGTATATTCCTTCATGGCCAACTGCGGCCGAATGGGATTCAGATTGAGGAGATTAGGGAGGTAGAGGTTATTGTTCATCCGTTGGTTTTGGAATTAACGGGGAAGACTGCGCCGAAGGATGGGTTGGAGGCGAAGTTTAGTGTTTATCATGGGGCTGCCGTGGGGCTTTTGTTTGGGAAGGCTACGCCGGCGCAGTATGAGGATGCGGTTGTTACTGATGAGCGGGTTGTATGGTTGAGGGATCGGATTAGAGCGACGGTGGATGAGACTTTGCGACCAGATGAGGCAGTGGTTATTATTCGGGTGCCGAATGGTGGAGAGGGGGACGATGATTCTGTTACTGAGATTCATGTTGACCATGCTGTGGGAAGTCGGGAACGGCCCATGTCTGTTGCTCAGTTGACGGACAAATTTGTGGACCAGTGTATTTCAGTATTGGGCCGGGAGCGGACTGAGCGAGCAAGCAAGTGGTGCTGGGAATTGGAGAAGCAGGTTGATGTGCGCCAGATTAAGACTGTACTCTAGACTTTCCTACAAAGGGTAGCCCACTACTACGATACGCACGCATCAAAGTTACGGTAGCTTTCTATGATTGGTTTCAAATAGGTCCACGGATTCTAGATTGAGTTTCAATGTATGTAGTTGTGGTCAAGTATACTACGGGTAGCGATGAAGAGAACAATAGCAAAGCGACAGTCTGAGTACGAAAGGTTGGGTAAGAACCCGCTTAGGAGTCGACCGAAAAGAAGAAAGCAGATAAAAACCAGGTAAAATGTGATCTGCGCCAGTGGTAAACCAACCATCCAAAATGCCCATTATGAAGGGAGCCCGTCTCAGACGGGTCCAATTCGTCTACTCTAAGCGGCAACAGCGCCCTTGATCTCGCTGTAGATAGCACCAAGTTCCTTGTGCATAATCTGCTCAGCGTGGTTGACGAGGCCGTGGACGCGCTCCTCGAAATCCTCGACAGTAGATCCGGCCTTGTAGCCACCCTGAGCGATAATCTCGGTGTAGTTGGAGTTACCACCACCGTTCCAGGCGAGGAGCTGTATGCAGTTAGTATTTGAGGGGACTTGAAATTGATTCGAAGCAGGAAACTTACGTTGGGGGTGTCGGAGGGAATGTCGGTCAGAGCGCCAGAGGTAGCAACCTCAATGAGGGCATCCTTCAGCTTCTTCGGGGTGATCTTCTCGACAGCGAAGGCAGAGTCATCGGCGGGCTGGAGGGAGACGTAGTAGGCCAGCAGACCGGCAATGTGGGGGGAGGCCATGGAGGTACCCGAGATGGTGTTGACGGCATACTTGCTGCCGATCCAGGTAGACAGGATGTTCAGGCCAGGAGCAAAGATGTCAGTGCACTTTCCGAAGTTGGAGAAGTAGGCACGTTCATCAGCGAGAGTGGAGGCACCGACGGTAACGGCCTTCTGAGCAGCGGCGGGGGAGTAGTTGCAAGCATCGGCATTGTCATTGCCAGCAGCGACGGCGAAGTGAATACCAGCATCGACGGCGGCATTCACAGCGAGATCCAAAGTGCGGGAGCTACCGCCACCGAGACTCATGTTGGCAACGCTACCCTTGAAGCCCTTCTTGCCAGCCTTGGCCTTCTTGATGTGAGCCTCGGCAGCCCACTCGACACCCTTGACGACGTCGGACATAGTGCCGGAGCCGTTGGAGCGGAGGACCTTGACGGCGTAGACGTTGGCCTTCTTAGCAACACCGTGCTTCTTACCGGCAATAGTACCAGAGCAGTGAGTACCGTGACCGTTTCCATCCTCATCAGCATCGCCCTCGGGGATAGTCTTGCCCCAGTTGGCGCGACCTTCAAAGTCAACGTGCTCGGTGTTGGTGCCAGTATCGATGACGTACGCATCGACACCCTCACCACCATCCTCGGCGTACAGGTACTTGTTGAAGCTGCCGAAGGAAAGGCTATCACGGTGGGAGATACGTGCTAGACCCCAAGGAGCGTTCTTCTCAACGGAGGGCCCCTCAAAGTGGTGGACCTCAGAGTCCTTCTCAATGTACTCGACCTAAGACCGGGAGGGAGGATGAGTCAGTACGGTTCGGAAGCTCGTGATCATTGGGCGGCTGGGGAGCTTCAAAGAGCTACTACTTACATCCGGATGCCGGCGGACCTGCTCAATGACATCTTCGTGGAAATGGCCAGCATAACCCATCAGTGAACCAGCCACATGGAAGGAGTGCTTGACGCCGAGGAAGGCATCAGTATCGAAGCCAAAGAGGCCGCGCTTCTTAAGTTCCATACGCCCGTTGGTGGTGGCGTGGATGTCCTGCACCCAGCTGTGGTGGGCGGCAGCAGCGGAAGTATCGACATGCTTCTTAAACACAACGATGTAGGAGTCTGGGATCTCCTGGGAGTTCATAGAAGAGATGATGGGAGCAGCTCCATTGTGGATAGACTCCACACCCACGGGGGAGGCGACTGTGAGGAGCGGCAGCAGTGCCAGACCGAGGAAACCCTTCATGATGACTGATGGGCTCGACGATAGGGGGAAAAGAGAGTAAAAGAATAGAGAATACAAACAGAGATGGGCGAGCGATAGTTATAGGAAGAGATGGATGTGGATGATGGGGGAGGAGAGAGGAGGTGCTGGGATGAGGAGATGAGGAGGTCAGGGCCGCCTTATCTAAGGGACCCGGGCGGAGAAGACCACTGGACCCAACGCTTGCATCATCAACCGTAGAATACAATACAATACAATACGCCATCCGATGACTATCCATTGGCGCCGATCATGAGTGGAGACCGGGGAAGGAAGCAAGTATGTTACCAGAATTACAATACTACCGATCCGGGAGAGTCTGCCACTCTTCCAGGTTTGGTCTAGTCCATCAGCACTCCTCCGTACGTGTGGTACTTCTGGTACAACTGGTACACTACTCCGCAACTGCAGAAGGCATCCGAACTCTCTGTAGCCTGTATCTGGTCTGGTGGCGGTACCGGGGCTGTGCTTATCGACTCTGACTCAATCCTTGGAAGAATACCTGGAATACAGGATTCCCCAAGGCTGGGTATACTTTGTACTGCCCACCTACTAGTAAGACAGGGTCTGTTTGCTCCCCGGGTACCTGGCAGCTCCAAAGCAAGGTCGACCTGTTGGCACGGGCAATCTGAATCTCTGCGTAACCCTGAACCCCTCATTCTTCGAAGTCGCGTGCTTACACCTTGATGAGAGATCATCGGGTACTGTGACCTCCGGGACTCCACTCAAGCAGCTCTAGCCGCTCTCCCTGTCTCCAAGATCCATTGGATTCGCCCTGTCCACTTATCATCTTATCGTCCGATGAGCGGCGATCCATCCGCCTTGTAACGCCCGTTACGGATACTCCGTGAATCCACGATTAGTGACGTGACAGCTTGGAACTAGGTGGCCCCCAAAGTCACCTGATTCCCACAGCCTTTCCCCGCCGCCGCCGCCGCCGCTGCATGTTGATAGTGGACGATCCATTTTTGGGCCCGACCACAAGGCAACTTCGAGTTCGTCACGCCAGTCGGTTTGGATATTCGAAGCACTGTTGCGGATGCTTTGCCCCTCTATTCCCCTGCTCTCCACCAACCGCCAACCCCCTTCCTGGGATAATATTCCCCTAGCTGTCTCATCTGGACCCGCTAGCACAACACATACCAATGCAGACCGCCTCAACCGACACGCCAATCGCGCATTCACGGTCTCTGGTGGTCACCCGCCATCGGTCCGGTCGTGGATAAGATTTGGTCATGGCTCCGCCGCCCCTCCCCCCTCCATCTCCGTCTGGTTCGACTGAGCGACTCGCCGAAGAGCTAGCTCCCACCCTCGACCAACTGAAGAACCTCGCCGCGGGCAAGGACCTGACCCTCTCGCAGGCCCTCACGGCGACCGAGCCTCTCCTTCGTCTTCGCCATACCTTCATCGATGATGCACGCCCTCAAACTGCGAAAGATGCCTTCCGACATCTCCAGGGTTTCCAGGTCCTGCTGGGGCTCGCGGAACAACTTGCTGAGCTATATGATCCCCAGAACCTCTCCAAAGAGGACAGAAAGAGCTTGCTTGGAGTCTACAAGGATGTCGTTGGAGTCGTGGCCGAAGGATTGAAGGAACATTTTGGAAACAAACGATATTTCGCCCGCAGGATTACCGGCGGCGGGACTGCTGGTCTGGAACGGACCCTCGCTGTGCTGGTTGGGAAGATAGGTGATACCGAAGCCGATTCACAACAATTGTACGGAGCCATCCTGGCTGCCGCGTTGTGCCAGGAAGCCGTAGCGGGGATTTTTGCAGCTCTCAACGGCAAAATCCCGCAGCCACAGGGCACGGATTCGATATCTCCCAAGGACATCCGAATTGCCGTCGATCAATTCATGGGCTCTGCCGAAACTGTGGAGGTCGCAGAGCTGCTCGGCCCGTTGCTCCGCATTTGGGTAACACACTCTGTGACACCTGGAAATAACGGTCTCCGTTTGGCTATCCCCGCATGTCTTTGTCAATTGGCTTCCCAATCTCGCCGGAACGTTGTAGCTTTGCATGCCACCGGGATGCTGACCTCAATCCTCCCGCTCTTGTTCGATGACGGCAGGTCCGACACCGAAAGAGCTCTTTATCAGGATCTGGCTCGGTATCTTAGTGTCCAGGGTATGAGTAGCTTGGACGACGCCGTTGCCCTTTACCGACGTGCACACGATAGTCCCCAGGTTCTTCAGTTCCTACTTTCCGCACTCAAATTCTCCAAAGAGCCCCCGTCAATACAGTTCGACCTCTCTCTACATGGGTTCTGCTCTGTAGAGTTCGCAACCTTGGGTCGACCATTCCCACCAAGCACATCGGCTGGCTACACCTTGTCCGCTTGGGTACGCTTTGATGAGTTCGATTCAAACACGCATACCACAATATTTGGAGCATTTGATGCTAGCCAAACTTGTTTCATCCTAGCTTATCTGGAGAAGGACACACGCAACTTTATTTTGCAAACCGCGATTCGCGGCCCGCGCCCCAGCGTACGCTTCAAGTCTGCCAAGTTCGAGCCGGATCGCTGGTACCATATCTGCCTCATTCATAGACGGCCAAAGCCCACATCCTCGTCCAAGGCATCCCTCTTTATAGATGGCGAATTTTCGGAGCAGTTGAAGATTGATTATCCTTCAGTTCCAACTAGTAATCACCCAAGCCGACCACCACGAATCCAGGCTTTCTTCGGAACCCCCCCAGGATCTTGCAATGAGACTTGGTAAAGGGGTTTCCACGTCTCGCTGGTCACTTGCCAATGGAATTTTGTTCGATGAGGTGTTCAGCGATGACATGGTGGCTGTATTTTACAATCTCGGTCCGCGCTACTATGGTAACTTCCAGGACTGCCTAGGATCTTTCCAGACGTACAAAGCATCTGCCACTCTGAACTTGCGGAATGAACATCTCCATCCCGGCAAAGAGGAGAGCTCGGATATCGTCACTGCTATTCGACGGCGAGCAAGTAATCTTGTTCGCGAAAGCTCAATTCTGATCAATGTTTCCCCTGTGGCTGTTCTTGACGACGATGACAGCAACAACGTGGACGAGTCACAGCTTATCAAATGCTTGTCCAAACAAGCAGCTAAGTCCCTGCAGCAGCTAACTAAGGCCGGGGGTAATGCCGTAGCGGTAAATGGAGCCACTCCTGCGATCAACGACGGCTTGACCCAGCCTCAAGGAGTAGGAATTCTGACAGGCGATCCAGTCGTTGAAGTTCCACGATCGCTGGACGACGCCAGCTGGTGTTTGGGTGGCTGTGCCCCGGTGCATCTCAGTCTCATTCAAGCCGCTGGCACTGCCGAGAATACACGGACTGCTGTGGAAGCGCTCTACGAGGCTGTTCGGGATAATTGGCGGAATAGCGAGGCGATGGAGAGGGATAACGGATATGGAATCCTCGCTGTACAACTCCGGGAGAAATTGGGCTATCAGTTTGGCACACCAACCACACCAAACAAGACCTCCCTGGTTGCGTCAACCGAAGAACAAAATTCTTTGACCCTTGAGCTACTCCGACTCACTCTTGCATTTGTTGGCTATGACTTCGACCGTCCCAGTCACTCCATCATCACGAATCCTCTCGCCTATAGGATATTGCTTGTCGACATGGATGTCTGGCGATTTGGAGACAAACCTGTCATGGATTTATACTATTCGCAATTTCGAACATTTGCTACCGGGAGCAACTACCGCCGATTCAATGCCAGGCGACTCGGCCGCATGCGTAAGTCTTCTTGAACCAAATCCCCTCATTAATAAAGCCAAAATGGTTGTTGACAACAAAGCAGGTGTCAGCAAGAAACTTCTTGAGATTTTGAAGGGGGGCGAACTGACACAAGAAACTCTTCAACCTTGCCTGTCCGCCTTTCGGTCCTTGGTTGAAAGCAGTCCATCCCCTGATCTCCTTCGATCGCTGGCTTTGTCTATAACTTATACCCTCCACAAGCCTAGCCCATCTGCCGCACTGAAGAAAAAGAAGAGTCTTCGGTTTGTGGGAGCTTCATCTCGACCAGGCTCCTCAAAGTCAGACTCGGAGAAATATATCGCAAATATTCCCCTGGGAATCGAGATGCTGCGATTGTATTCCAATATCCTCTGCAACCCTCTTGACCCGACGCCTCTGAAGAAGTTTGCCAAGGCGGTCACCAATAAGGTTTGTCGAAGCCTATTCTTACATCGTCCATATTACATTATCTAACAAACACAGTGGCTCTTGTACCTCGCCTGTGAAGATGAGCCCGAAGTCGTTACACATGCTGTTAAGATTCTCGCGAGGCTACTCATTGTCCATGGAAGCAGCTACAGCAAGAAATTTGCCGACAAGAACGCAGGGTACATGATTCTGGAACATCACCTGAAACGATGGTGGAATATTCCATCTATCTGGATCATCTGCCTGTCTATTTTTTTCGGACAAGATGTTGCTCGTCTGGATCTTGATAAACCTTTCAACGCACCTGCCCTCCTCAACATGTTCTTGGCAGATGGTGAGCTCCGCATTGCATTTCCCGAGATGCTCCCTGTCATCATGGCAATGCTAAGAGCCGGATCGAAACAAATAATATCTACTGGTGAAGCAAAGATGGCAGAGGATTCACAAGCTCTATTCGTAGAAGCTGCGATCAGTTCAAAGAACCCAAATATGGCGACGTGCAACCTGGCCGATGTACCCCTGCCGGATCGAACAAAATATGGTATCTCCATTCTATCCTCAGTTGTCAAGTTCTTTGCGGAGGCTCGATCGATCTCTAGAAACTTCCAAGAATTCACTACGCAGCCAAATTATCTTCAAGAGCTTCTGTCTATTCTCTATCCTTCAGTTGTTGGCACAGATCCTGTTGGCCCGACCATTGAAATGAGCGCTCGACACGGCGGAATCGGCTTCGATGACAGCAATCTCGTTCTTCGACCCCGCTCAGGTACCGCAAACGCCTCTACGGCCTTCCAAACGACCACAGTTGACGTGGCGGAAAGTGCCGACGAGAGTACTGATTCGCTTCGCCGTGGATCCTCGTTTGTCCTTATCTCTTCAGAAAGAGCTAAACACCAGCCGTCTTCTGCTCGCATTCGTCGCATAGTCGATCCCAAGTCAGCAAATGACAAGGCCGTGATCGATCATCCACTCACAAAGGCTATTTTTGGCCTCGTCCTCCCGATGTTTGAGGATCAACTGCTCGAAAGAAAAGACTTTTCTGGATTAGGGTTGTATCAAAAAACGCCCCCTGGGTTTATGGAGCACCAAGCGCATTTCAACTCCTGGGTATTCAACTCTCTTCTCTCAAATCTGAAGAAATTGCCGACAACAAACCCTCGCCTACTCCAAGAACCTCGTGTTTTGACAAATCTCTCGCGCTTTGCAATCCATCTGGTAGAGGCGGTCTATGAGGGATGGTATATCAATGGGCCCGTATCTAGTCTCGAATGTATGGGTACGATTCTGGAATACCTTCAACGCCCCGATGTGGCAAGCCTCAAGAGTATTCGTCTATGCAGTCAAGCAGTCGCTACTATCCATTCAGCGCTCTATCGGATCGTCCTATTCCAGCTTTCAGAGGCGGAAGATAGTGAAGCTTTGTCAGTCCTGAAACGACTGAACTACTGGCAAGTCGTGCTTCTTTCTGCAGCCGATACGCAGTCGAAGTATCTTCAATTACTTTTCTACCTGCTGTACACTAAACTGATCAGCACCGATGAAAACGTCCGTTTGGCTGCAGCAAGCCTTTGGCGGATAATCCTTGTTCAGAAGCCTGAAGAGGTGACAAATCTCCTCGGCAACGCCCTCATCCCTACAGCGCCGACTGGCTGACGGGTTTGATACCCTTGTGGGCATGGAGGATGAAGCTTTTCTTCCATGGATTGATGGTCAAAGAGACGACCTTGATGCATTGTTCTTCGGGATCTTGTCTCGGTCCTGGGAGACTTTCGTCCAGGAAGAGAATGCGAAAAGTGAGGATTCAGGAAAGAATCGCATGTCAAAACGCAAAGAAAAGTTGAAACAATGGGCTCAGTTGGAAAAATTCAATGAGGAGGTCATCAGGAAACATGACGCTACCCTGCCTCATTGGATCTCGAACATCTCCGCATCGGAGTTTCTGAAGTCACAAAGGTTTCTGCAAGACTTACAAGATAACTCTGTCTTCATGTGGTCGGCATTCTCAACGCTTTTGATGGATCTGCGACGACCACGTGGTCTTCTCGCGGAAGAGAAGGAAAGAAAATGGCGACTTGATCAAACTGAAGGTCGCAGCCGTATGCGATTGCGAGTCGTCCCAGACGAATCTGGTGATCGACAGGATTACCAGCCGAAGCGAAAGGCTTCCGAGCCCCCTATGCCTAAGCTCGATACTCGCGTTCGTGCACTATCTGCAGGGGAAGTAGCTGCCACGCCTACCGTTATGACAGCCGAGCCTGAAGGTCTTGACTCTGAGCCTCAATATGGCGAAGCTGATAATGCCACCAACGCGGAAGATCCAAGTATGCTTGAAGAAAACTTCGAGATGATTGATGACCCCAAGAATGAACTCGAGGACTACGATGACAAAAATCGCAAAGTGATGCGGTCTCTTCACCGCGGCGACCAGGTCCAGAATGTGTGTAACATGTCACGGATCATTGGTCTCGAGGCTGTTGAGGGGCTTTTGATTCTCGGAAAGGATTGCATCTACATTCTGGACAACTTCTTTCAAAGAGCCGATGGAGAAATTGTCAACGTCTGGCAAGCCCCTGTAGAGGAACGCGACTCTTATGTGCGAATGATTTCCGGACGAGAATCCAATGACCGCCGTTCTCAAGAGCACGAAACTAGGAGCTGGAAGTGGTCCGACCTAGTCAGCGTCTCCAAACGTCGCTTCCTCTTCCGTGACGTTGCCCTAGAAATCTTCTTCACAGATGGTACCAGCTACCTTCTAACGCTCTTTTCTGCGCGCGTAAGAGATGACTTGTGCAATCAGCTTGGCTCCAAAGCACCGCAGGTTACTGGAAGTGCTGGCCACTCGCGACCGGAAGATATCTGGAGGTTTGAAACCCTGCGAAGTCAAGAGGATGCGCCGCAATCCATCGGTTCCAAGTTCGCAAGCGTCTTTGGCCATCTTCCATCGAACCCTGCAACGCGAAAATGGGTCAAGGGCGAACTATCCAATTTTCACTATCTGATGTTGATCAATACCCTTGCTGGACGAACTTTCAACGACTTGACCCAGTATCCAGTTTTCCCGTGGGTCTTAGCAGACTATACAAGCGAAGAGCTCGATCTCACCAACCCCAAGACATTTCGTGACCTCTCCCGCCCCATGGGCTGTCAGAATCCCGATCGCGAGGCAGGTTTCAAGGAACGTTACAATGCTTTTGCGGAGATGGGTGATGATAACTCCCCGCCTTTCCATTATGGAACCCATTACTCCTCCGCCATGATCGTCAGCTCGTATCTCATTCGCCTTCAGCCATTTGTCAAGTCATACCTTCTCCTCCAGGGCGGAACATTTGATCATGCAGATCGACTATTCTACTCAATTCGAAAGGCATGGGAGTCCGCAACGCGGGGTAACATGTCTGATGTGCGAGAATTAATTCCGGAGTTCTTCTATCTACCAGAGTTCCTAGTGAATTCCAATAAGTATGACTTTGGTGTTCTGCAGAACATGACCACGGCCATTGATTCTGTTGACCTTCCCCCCCTGGGCCAAAGGAGACCCGAAGATTTTCATTGAGAAGCATCGCGAGGCACTAGAGAGCCCATACGTTTCAGAAAACCTACATCATTGGATTGACCTCGTGTTCGGTAGCAAACAGAAGGGCGAAGCCGCGGTTGAAGCCGTTAATGTCTTTCATCATCTGTCTTATAAGGGTGCGAAGGACTTGGATGCAATCGATGACCCTATGGAGCGGTTGGCTACTATTGGAATTATTCATAATTTCGGACAAACTCCTCATCAAATTTTCCAACGTCCTCATGCTCAGCGAGAAGATCAACGGCACCGTGTTCCCCGGCTTGATACCCTTGCGGAATCCCTGACACAGACGCCGCTCGCATTGCTCAGTAAGAGCATCTATCCTCAATTGCAGATCCACAGTTACTAATATTTCGTTCTCTTTATAGATACAGAAGAGCACGTGGCGAATCTTTCTATGAGACAGGATCGCCTTCTTTGTACAGCTTCTCTTCGATTGAATGTCCCGCCAAACTACGATCACTATATGGAATGGGGATTTTTCGATGGCAGTGTCCGTTTTTACTCCGCGGATAGCCGTAAAGTAAGTATTGGCCTCTGAAAGCCGAATACAGGTCCATCTTGTTAATGCCATATAGCTTCTCGGACACTTCGAGCATCTGCATATCGGCCAGCTTTCCCATGCCAGTTTTGCAGACTCCCGAACGCTCATCACATGTGGAACGGACTGTACAGTTTCTCTGTGGACAATCACTGCGACCTCCAAGTCAGTTGATCTGCAACCTACCGGGTCGCTCTTTGGCCACCGCGCACCCGTCACCGTGCTCGCCGTTTCGCGTTCTTTCAGCACTTTACTATCCGCATCCAGCGACGGACATATCATGCTATGGGACCTTAACCGACGAGGTTTCGTACGAACGTTGCCTGCTGAAGGAACAGTTGACGTGAGTGATTCTTCAATGTTCCATACGCTGTTTTCGCGTATCTGACTATATATATAGTGTGCTCGTATAAACGACGTGACGGGCAACATTGTTGTCTGTCGGGGTCATCGTCTCACCATGTACACTCTGAATGGTGATGTCCTAGTCGACCAACCGGTCTGCGATTCGGTCGACGATCGTGTGTTATCCTGCGTCTTTTACGAGGGCGTCCAAAACGAATGGCTCGAGCGTGAGCTTGTCCTGACCGGCCACAGTCGCGGCGTTGTGAACATCTGGAGCAAGATGATTCGAAATGGACGATTTGAGCTGGAACTCATCCGTCAACTGCATCATACAGACAGCAGTCGCGACACTGGGGCCAATATCTCAACGGGAATCAGTTGTATCCTTGCCCTTCCCCACGTGGTCTATACCGGAGATGAAGCGGGCCGTGTGGTGAGTTACTCTACTTTTCCTGTTTTACCGTGGCTAGACCATATCTTATGGGAGACTCCCAGACTAACCGGTTTATTTTCTGTAGTATGAGTGGAATTGCATAACGAGGCGCTAGGCCTTGCCGTTTTGGACCAACCGTTGCCGTGCGGCTACTGACTTACACGCCTCTCTCTCCGCCTTTCTCTGTTCTGTGTTGGCCTCGCCTCATTGCAAAAGCAACTGCTATATTTGGTAGCTCGGCGCTTTTCCTTTCTCTTCTGGGATGATTTCATTCGCCTTTGCCCTCTTGTATTTGTTTATTTGTATAACCTACACCTTTGTTCGTTTCCAACCACGCACATACTACATAGCATGCATAGCGGAATGGCCACAGCATCATCATGGACACACGGATTCCCCCAGCCCCAAACGCCGTCCGGAGTAGATCGCGACATTTAACCGGGTCTCTCGGTGAGTGAGATGCAGGACCACTGCAGTAGTGGGCCGTTGGCCGGTCGACCATACTCCGGTTGGGGTGCCGGAGCACACTGCGCCGGATTGGTCAACCTGGGGGTTGTCTACAACTTGTAGTGTACAGTAATAAGGGGATTGAGATTGAAATCATCATGATGGAAAAATTGGTAGTGGAAGATAGAAACCGGTCAAGAAGGACAAGGTCAAAGAAGGAAGTGATGTATAAAATCTTAAAGGTGCGTGAACCGGACACGGGAACGTCAAGAAAGGCGCGCACGGAGGGGCATTGTTGGTGGAGGGAGAACTGGAGAATGATTTCATCGCGCATCGTCATTTTTTGCCCCACTCCCAAGTTTTGTCCCGCATTGAGGAGGTACTTGCTTTTTGTATGACACTACCATACTACATCGAAGTACCTCTTAGGTTCCCGGCTCCCTCTGCTCCATGGCGCCCAGGTTGCCCCTCCCTAAATACCTCCTCATCGCCACTTCTCTTCCTCCTTCATCTCTTCTTTCTCTATCCAATCTTGCAATCTTTCTCCTTGCACAATATACCCTTCCGATTTCAAAATATCATGTCTTCCTCTCTCGAGCAGCTCAAGGCCAGCGGCACCGTTGTCGTCTGTGACTCTGGTAAGTCCCGTCCCACCGATCATCCATGATGCATGCATTGAACAACACCCCACTAACACGCGATTCCTAGGTGACTTTGCCAGTATGTGGTGACCCAGCTTCCAACTTGCCTTGCCGCATTGTCCGGCATCATTGGATCCTTAAGCTAACGTGTGACAGCCATCGGCAAGTACAAGCCCCAGGATGCCACCACCAACCCCTCCCTGATCCTGGCTGCCTCCAAGAAGCCCGAGTACGCCGCTCTGATCGACGCCGCTGTTGCCCACGGTAAGACCAAGGGCAAGACTGTCGACGAGCAGGTTGACGCCACCCTGGACCGTCTCCTGGTTGAGTTCGGTACCAAGATCCTGGAGATCATTCCCGGCAAGGTCTCGACTGAGGTCGACGCCAGGCTGTCCTTCGACACCGAGGCCTCCGTCAACAAGGCCCTCGAGATCATCAAGGTATGTACCTGAGAAATTCCAGCGAGTGACAGACAACAGATAATTAACAAGCTCGCATTCTAGCTGTACGAGGAGTCCGGTGTCTCTAAGGACCGCATCCTGATCAAGATCGCCTCCACCTGGGAGGGTATCAAGGCTGCTCACATCCTGCAGTCCAAGTACAAGATCAACTGCAACCTGACCCTGATGTTCTCCCTGGTCCAGGCCATCGCCGCCGCCGAGGCCGGTGCCTTCCTCATCTCCCCCTTCGTTGGCCGTATCCTCGACTGGTACAAGGCCGCCCACAAGCGCGACTACACTGCCCAGGAGGACCCCGGTGTCAAGTCCGTCCAGGACATCTTCAACTACTACAAGAAGCACGGCTACAACACTATTGTCATGGGTGCCTCTTTCCGCAACATCGGCGAGATCACCGAGCTCGCTGGCTGCGACTACCTAACCATCTCCCCCAACCTGCTGGAGGACCTCTACAACAGCACCGCTGCCGTCCCCAAGAAGCTCGACGCTGCCGATGCCACCAAGCTCGACATCCCCAAGCGCGCCTACCTCGACAACGAGGCTGATTTCCGCTTCGACTTCAACGAGCAGGCCATGGGTGTTGAGAAGCTCCGTGAGGGTATCTCCAAGTTCGCCGCCGATGCGATTACCCTCAAGGAACTGCTCAAGGCCAAGATCCAGGCCTAGATGGCTGTGGCTTAATTTTCGTCTGTGATTTCTTTTTTTAAAAAACCTTATGTTATTTGTAAATTGGCGATCCCCAAAATGTCGGAATCGGTAGATACGAATTGATGAATCTTTTACTCTTTAAACTCGGGGCAATTTCACACCGTAGAGACTAGTAGTACTATGCAGTAACTATTTAAGTAGTAGTACTAGTAATAGTACACGTTTTAAGATTGGATAGAATTAGGCATTGCAGACATATACCCAACCCTGTAGATCTCCGGTGTGTCGGGTGGTCTGGAGGCCGACGCTTCCGAGGTCAAATACCGTGCGGAATCTAGGCTAGTCGGCTTATTCATGCCATGAGCAACCCCGCAGGGCTCGGTGTGACTCTGTATCACGCCGTTTAGGTCAATTTGGATGATAGATGACTTCAATCAAGGGTAATTGAGAGTGAAAAGAGCTAAGACCGAATTGATTCTGAATTTTAACACTCAGTATACTCAGTAGAGGTGGATGGCGAGGTTCAACGCAGCATTATGTCATTTCCCTCGTTCCGAAAGCTGCCCACTTAGGAAGGTGGGGGGGTTTTTTGGGAGAGGAAGAGTTTGTACCTGGTACTTACACTCCTTGCAAATTTCTGCAGTAAATCGAAGTACTAGAGACAAGGCAAATTCCCCTAGTGGTGCAGTCACGTCAACATCATCCGCTTATTATTCTCGTCTCCGCCCACTTCTCCTCCTTTCCCTTTCCCTCAAGACTCATACCAATTATTTTATATTCACCCCTATATCTTTTATAACCGTCAATATGGTCAAGGCTGGTAAGCTTATCCTGTCAAGCTCCTTTCCGATCTCATACTCCCCCCCCAGGGCCAATGAACTGTTCCCAAGCCCTCACGGCTCCACGCCCCAGGGACCTTGGGTGAGCAGATTTGAGCACCTTGTGATCATCCTGCTGCTATTGCTGAGCCTATCGGCTTGCTTCCTCTCTCCACTGTCTGGTTTCAGCTGCGTGAGATACCGCCAGGGTACTCGCGATCTGAGCTTAAGCTATTTGAGCTTTCGAACCCGGTGGACACCAGGCACCAGGCAGCGGGGGCGCGGGAGACGGGCCGATGCAAGCATACTAGTACCTAAATCTTGAAAGATGTCCCCTGCTAACCATATCTCATCCAGTTGCTGTCCTCCGCGGAGACGCGAAGATCGCTGGTACTGTCACCTTCGAGCAGGCCGATGAGTCCGCTCCCACCACCATCTCCTGGAACATCACTGGCAACGACGCCAACGCTGAGCGTGGTTTCCACGTTCACCAGTTCGGTGACAACACCAACGGCTGCACCTCCGCCGGCCCTCACTGTATGTAGCCTCTGTGCATGCCATACTCCCCAGATCTATCCTTGAAGATATCATGATAGCTGACCCCCCTTGCAGTCAACCCTCACGGCAAGACCCACGGTGCTCCTACCGATGCCGACCGTCACGTCGGTGACCTGGGCAACTTCAAGACCGATGCTGAGGGTAACGCCACCGGCAGCGTGCAGGACAAGCTTGTTAAGCTGATCGGTGCCGAGAGCGTTCTGGGCGTAAGTTAAACCGAAGTGGTCGAATTGGAACCTCCCAATGTAGAGAAATGAAGTAAACTAATAGGGCAATTTAGCGTACCCTGGTCGTCCACGCCGGCACTGATGACCTCGGCCGTGGTGGCAACGAGGAGTCCAAGAAGACTGGTAATGCTGGTCTCCGCCCTGCTTGCGGTAAGTTAATGTTTATTCCTTTATTATCTTTCTTCATATACTGACTCGTTACAGGTGTCATTGGTATCTCCGCTTAAATTTGGAGTAATCTTTGATAATCCCACATGGTTGGATCACGATGATATTCCCCATCTATTGAGATGAAAAGTACAGGATATTTTAACCTGGCTAGGATGCAATGAACTTCATTTCAAACGAGTTATCTCCCCCCCCCCCCTTTTCCCCCTTCTAGAGTGTAGTTCAAGTTGTGTGCTGGGCTGGCCCGTAGTGCCCAGACCGCTTTCCCCCACAAACACCGTGGCCACGTTTCCTCCGAAGCTCTCCCGCGCGATCATTCCATTCCAGTCCTTTCTAGTTTCCCTTTCCCTCTAGTTTCTCCCCCTGGTTTTCTTCAATCGGTTTTAAATCAGCTTCCTTTGTGTGTGGTAGCGGTGTTCCTATCCAGCATGCCTTTCGAAGCCCGCGTCAAGTCCGTCCTGTCCGGCGACACGGTCGTGCTGTCGCATATCTCTAATCCCTCACAAGAACGTATCCTGAGCCTGGCATATGTCTCTGCACCACGCCTGAGGAGAGAGGGTGACGAGGTTAGTAATTGTTCACCTCAATTGTTGGTCTACTGGAACGCTTAGATCATGAGGCGGTCTTTTGAACCCCCATGGTCAATTCGAATCGTCCCAATGTGACAGTTTCAATTCAACTGAACTAACAACATTCACTTTAGCCCTTCGGATACCAGTCGCGCGACTTCCTCCGTGAGATCCTTGTCGGCAAGGTCGTTCGTTTCGACGTCGTCTACACCATCCCCACCGGCGCCAAGCGGGATTACGGTGTCATCACCCTGCCCGGTTCCAACGCCAAGCTCCCCGATATCAGTGTTCAAGAGGGATGGTCTCATGTCCGTGAGGAAGCTGGCAAGCGAGGAGATGAGTCGGAGGCCACCCAAGGACTACTTGACCGTCTGCGTGGGCTGGAGTCGCTCGCCCAGGATGAGAAGAAGGGTATTTGGTCCGGTTCCGCCGAGGGTCTCATCGAGACTAGCTACGAATTGTCCCACGGACAAGCTCTTGTGAATGAACACAAGGGAGAGCAATTGGAAGGTATCATTGAGAAGGTCTTGAACGGAGACCGTGTCGTCTTGCGCCTCTTGGTTTCGTCTCAAGAGCACGTG